TTCATGGGTTCATGGGTTCATGGGTTCATGGGTTCATGGGTTCATGGGTTCATGGGTTCATGGGTTCATGGGTTCATGGGTTTGGGGTTTGTTTGTTTTTGTGTCGGAGGTTTTGGGTTTTGATGTTGGAGGTTTTGGTGTTGGAGGTTTTGGTGTTGGAGGTTTTGGGTTTGGGTGTTGGAGGTTTTGGGCTTGGGTGTTGGAGGTTGAGGTTTCCGAAGGGATGTGTTTGCAAAGTTTTATTGCTCTTAATATTTCTTCTTTCTTCTAATTTGAAGTTTCTTCGGAAGCGCACGTCTCGGCGCATGGCCGAGCCTGAGGCGATGTTTTACATCCACGACCTCATTCTTGCCCTCAAATACCTGCACAAAAATCGGATTCTTCATCGCGATCTCAAGCTCGGTAACCTCTTCTTGGACGCGTCTATGCGGATCAAGATCGGCGACTTTGGGCTTGCTGCGCAGCTCGAGAACGACGGCGAAAAAAGGAGGACCATATGCGGCACACCAAACTACATTGCGCCCGAAATCCTTGAAGGTATATCTTTATTGTCGGGACAGGCTTTGATGCAAGAACATGTTAATGTTGGAGTGCTGTTTGATTTTTGACTTCGAGAGACTGTAGTCATGTTTTGTATCCCAAAGGATTAATGCTGGACGGAGTAGTGCGACTGAAGATTGTGTATAACTACTCTAGACCAATGAAGTAATATAGAATCCATTATTTCGCACGACCGTTTCTACTTTCATCCACTTCTACTACAGGAAAGAACGGGCACTCGTATGAGGTTGACATATGGAGTCTCGGTGTAATCCTCTACACTATGCTTATAGGAAAGCCGCCATTTGAAACCAGTGATGTGAAGGCGACCTACCGGAAAATTCGGTATTTGGTTCTCTTGTTGTGCATAGACGATACATCAAGAAATATTTCATCACATAAGCAATTTCGCAATGAATCACTTGCACTTCGTACTTTCATGTTCATCTGCTCTTCCCTTAGTATACCCATGAAGAAACAAATTTTTATTAGAGTCGTTGTAGTTGATTCCCATTTTACACTCGCTTACAGGTACAATCAGTACAGTTTTCCGGAGGAGGTCCAGATTAGTGATAGCGCAAAGCTGTTGATACAGACGTTGTTACAAACGGACCCGGCTGCCCGACCATCATTGGAAGAGGTCTTTTTTTGACATCCTTCGATAATTCTTGGGGTGATTTTTTAGACGTTCTTGCTCTAGCTTTATGAATATCTTTCTTATTGCTCCTGGAAGTAAGTAAGTTAAAGCTTTTCTGCAGTTGCAATATAACAAAGCCTCTCCTCGATATCTGCTTGTGGCTCTCATAGGTCGCAAATTCGAAATGGATGCAGCAGGCGAGAATAGCGAATGGTCCGCCTCCGATACCACCGCATTTGAGCGAAAAGAGACCAAATCAAAACACAAATCCGAATATTCAAGGCACTCTCATGCAAGCTCCCAGCGTTTCAACCACCGTTGGCAGCAACACAAACACGCATGGTAAGTATCCTTAGCTGAAGTGTAGTTGACAACAAGTTGCTTTCCGCTGTTGTTTCAGCTGTCAAATGACGGTCCTTATAAATTATTTTGAATCGTAATGGAAAAGCATGTGATGCTGATAGTTTTTAAAGATTGTTCGCGTCCTCCCAAGTATTTATATTTAAGTGTGTCACTCTACTTCCCTGAAGGGATACATAAAAAATAAAAATATTTCGACTCCATGTTGACAGGTGCTGCATCTGGAGCTCCCGGACTCTATTACGGCGGCGAGGTGGAGCAGCGGAGAGGGGCAAACAGCCGGTCGGAAACACCTGATCGTGCTGGCGCGTTGGACTTTGCCCGACTGGATTCGCCGGCGCCGAGAACAGACCGCTACCGACAGCAAGACGGTGGTAGATACCCTATGCGGGAACGGTCGCCAAGCATGTTCACCAGTCCCGCAAGGGCACCCTCGGGAGGTGGCGGAGGAATCAGTATTATCTGCAAGAAGTGGATCAGATTTTAGTACAGCAAGAAGCGACCTGACTGTGGTGATGAATCACTGGTTTTCATGATCGCTCGTAATGATATTCGGTTTTATGATGTCGATAGTGCAGTTCATTTGTCGATGAAGTAATGCAGTGCGTGAATTTGAAAAAAACACAGATGTCAACAGTCATGTGGATCCCCCAAGTACGGCAAAGCGGAATGGCCGACCGCCACCGCTGTATCAGGCCTCCAACGACGAAAATGCCATGCCCTCAACATCGGGTGGGCACTATCCGGCGCTTTCTAGTCACAGCCACTATCCAACGCACACCGGAGCTGTCGCGGGCATGAGCCCCAGTATGACCGGAGGACATCAGCAGCACCATCTCGTGGGTAGCGGTATGGGCGGAGCGGTCGCGCATGGGAGTCACATGAATACGATGAACGCGCCATCGGGATACCACGGTGTGCATCACAATGTGTACCACGGGCATTTCCCAAACAACCCCTCGGGAGCACCGCCACCCAACAGCTACAACCAGCACGCGACGAATCTGGGTTTACCACCTGGTGGCAACGCGGCTCCCATGCAGCAGCACTTCGTCGGAGGAGGAGTAGTCGGGCACCAGACTGCGCCAGGGGGCATGAACCTCGGGGGAGGACCACCGCCGCACCAAGGAGGAGTCTCCACGAGTAGCAGTGGTAACATGATGGGTGCGCAGCACAACGTCGCGGGTGGAATGGCCACGATGCCGCATCCCGGGATGGTGGAGCAGCAACAGCAGTACGACCGCTACGGAAATAGTCGGCAGGCAGTGCGGCCATCGTCCGCGCGTCCTCCCATCCGTGGAGCTATGGGCGGAGGTAGTAGCTCCAGTACCGGCCATCAGTACAGCAGTGCCGGACATCTTCACGGACAGCCACAAGGTCACGCTGGTTATAGCAGCAATGCTGGTGCAGCAAATGGAGCGCCACCAATGAGCGGAGATGCGGCACACGGAAGTAGACAGCGGGCGAACAGTAGCGACACACGGGCTAGACCCATGTCTGCGCGCGTAGCAATGTCAAGCAGCCGAGGTGCTCCGGTCAGCAGTGCACGGGGAGAGCCGCCGTCAACAGGTACCAACGGATATTCGTGCTTCCATATTGAAAGCCATTTCTGCCTCATCGCTGGGACTCTTGCGAGACTTACTCTCTTATACAATTGGAAACTACGTTCTATGTATACATAGTGTAATCGAATTATACGGCTTCCAATTCTATGCGTTCCAAACAAACCAGGTCTCGGCGATGAGCATGGACCGAGAAAGTCGTCTGTTATGTCATCCGTGAGGACACCTGTTGGAGAGAAAAGAAGAGATGAAGCACAGTTTGCAAGTCCTGCGGTGTTTCTTGATGCTCTGGGCTACCGATATAGTCCTACAGCTGGAAACGCGAAAGAGAAGCCTCCCGTGGTACTTGCCTAAAAATTAGAAATAGTCTGCCTTGTGATTTTTTTAGAAGAAAAAGTAAGTGGACGCATAGCTCCGTGACAAGCCTTTGGACTACTTTGGAAGACGGTCAACCCTGGAATATATCAACACACGATGACGTACATCTTCTAAAGATTGAAAAATGACAACATCTACAAAATATGATGCACGACTACAGGGCGGCTACAAGGTACCTGATCACGTGATGCGACCAAGCGATGACACTCTACCTGAGTTGTGGGTGACTAAATGGGTGGACTATAGTTCAAAATACGGCATTGGCTACGTGTTTAGCGATAACTCCATTGGTGTGTATTTCAACGACTCTACGAAAATCATATTGGAGTCCTCGACAGGGGTTGGCTTCGAGTACATCACGCGAAGGACGGTGACGAACCCCGAGCAACGCTCGTGCCACACTCTCGATGACTATCCTGAGGTAAAACTCAACAAGGCTGGATTTTCCTTAAATGATTTTGACTAGAAGTCGAAGTTCTCGAAGCAACGCCAAGCTCTGTTGAAAGCATTTGAACGAGATATCAACTTGTTCCCCATAAAATATAAACTCCAGGACTTGCGCAAGAAAGTGACTTTGCTGAAGCATTTCAAAAACTACCTTTTGATAAGCGGACACAGCGAACGAAGGGATAATTCGCAAGCTACCCTCGGTGAGTCTGGACTCGCCGCACCTCAGGGATACCAGTCGGATACTAGGAATAGCTCCGAGCGCGCGTACGTGAAAAAGTGGATGAAGAACCGACACGCGATCATGTTCCAACTCTCGAACAAAATTGTGCAGGTATACTTAGTACTCCAAATTTGATATAATGCCTGCATATCTGGTATATGATTTTTTTAGCGAAGGACACTTTTTCTTTGGGTTTTGAGTATGAACGACCTTCATGATACGAAAACGCGGTAAAGGAGCAATACGACGAAAAAGATTTAATCAAGGACGATAATCCTGGCCTTACCCTTTTTTCCAGGTGATTTTTTTCGACAAAACGGAAGTAGTTTTGTCGAGTAAAACACATACTGTGACGTATGTCGATAAGCGCGGGGTGCGTTCCGCTTATCCCTTGCAGAGTGTTATGGAGATTAGTAACACGGAACTTGCAAAACGCTTGAGATACACCAAGGACATTCTTGTGAATTTGCTGTCTGGTAGTCGCGCAACCGGCACCAGCGGTAACGGTGGTCGCACTGACGACAGTAGTGCAGCCATGCAGCTGGTTGGTAGCTAAAAGAGAGGAGGTTGTTCTCGTCTTGTTGGAGGAAGCTGCCTCTCTACGGTTCTCCATAGAGATCCTCTTACAGTTACAAGATGTATTTGACCTATGAAGATACCTTCAGTACCTTGGAACAATCTTGCGTGCAGATACACGTTGCACCTCAACAAATATTACAATATCTTCCCGCCTGTCGTGTTGCCTGCAGCTGCAGCTCTGCTGGACTTCTTATCTCTTCATTTCAGTACTCTTCTCCCTTGTGTGTAGTAGTCTGCAATTTCTTGATTTCGATGAAAAGTTGGAGACGCTGCCACGCTCCAGCACTCATCAACTACTACCGCGTGGTCGACGAGTGCGAAAAGAATATGATCGGCTGGAGCCTTCGCCTATCCTCGGCTACCCAGAAGCAAGAAATATTGATATTCGTGTACCAGCAAAATTTGGTCTTTCATCTTCACTTGTCCTGTACCAAAAAATGATGCATCAACCTTAATCTTCAATACCTCATTGGATAGGGCACGGCACGGCGAAAGAACTGTTTGTCATCGTCGCATTATTTTGCGGGTAAGGGTTTGCTAGCAACAACAATAAGGGCTACCTATCCTACAGAAAGATAGCACTCTGCCAGTTTCATTTCAGCGCCTCTACCTTCTTCCCTGTGAAGAAGCTGAAGGTCCCCAATCTTTCACCTACATGATCTTGCATTTTAGGATTGTTCTATGTATGAGTTTACACTTATGTTCTAGGTGGTAGTTGTCCATGTTGTAGACGGTCCGCTGTCGTTCACTCGAGAATATATAATCTATCAGAAAGTAGATTGAGGACGAGGTAGCATCATCTGAATAATTCCTTCGTGTTTGTGTACTCATACTCTCTTCGTCCTAGAAAAGTCGAACCTTTGATATAACCACAATAGTCACAACTAAGAAGATCATCACTCTGTTGTCAGAAAAACTATCTGTTTGTTACATGTAGTAAAATAAGAGAACAGCAGGTATAATCAAGCTAAGCCTTCGTCATCTTTGTTGTGTTGTCATCTTTCGGTCTCTTGAAGACAGGAGCCGATAAGATAATGTTGTCGTTCGTCGTTCCTTGCATATTAATACGGTAGTCTTTTTATTATCGAACTTAGTACTCTTTGTCTTTTCTTTGAATAAGTAAACGGTCGTGTAGTATCAAAAATCTATTTTTTTTCGGTGTTTGCAAATAGAAATTTCCTGTACATCAACTATGTATCTTGGTCGATCGGAACTAATATTGTGTAGGTAAGAACTTCTGAACTACTAGGAAGGCTGCTGGCCGTCGATTGAGCAGGATAAGGTGTTGAAACTAGATGTGGTTGCATTTTAGATCAGCAGGTGGTGATGTACCGACATCAGCATTGCTTCATTCCCATTGCCCGTTAATGTGAACGTCATGAATGTTCTGTCATTTTCAGTCATTTTTAGGATACGACCCCAGTCTAGATGATAGGTAAGTACTCCCATCTAGATGTTGATGTTAGCTGTTCTGTAAGGAGATAGTCGCCGAAGTCCATATAGCTTTCACCATATGTCGAGAGGATGTCTGAATTTTTGTTTCAAAAAAAACGAACAAAACAGCATTTGTACCGTTGACTGTGCCATTCTTGATGATATGGTTTATTATCAAAATTTGGAATTTTGTTTATATTAATATTGCAAGAACATGAACATGATCTTCGAGCATAAAAAGAAGAAAAATAAATGGTTTGGGTGAATCGGAAATATAGGGTGAAGATCGCTGGCCGTGGCGTCATGAGTAAACCAGAATCAAGCCTGCACAATTACTCCTCTATCTAAGTTTGTTCTACGAATTTAGCAGGGTAGTTTCTCATGTAAAAGGGAAAAAAGGGGCATTCCTCATGTAGAAGAACGTCGCAGCGATCGGAGCAAGCTAACGCAAGACCGACTGCTTGCGTTTGAAAGTGGCTGTGATAGGTATTGGAATGGACGATAGGATTTGAAAGACGTGCAGTATCTTGATCCATTTTAAGGACCAATAGGGAGCGACGAGGGAGTGGAGCCCATCGACAGTTTCGGGATGCCGATCGGGGTAAGCAGCCAAGACAATAGACTGACTGGGACTGCCGCGGAGGACCACGGTTGCCAAAGACAGCACGTCTTCTTTTTTTCGAGCAGGTCTTCCTCTCTCGACGTTTTCTGGCCTCTGCGTGCAGTTCCCAAAGCTTTCTTCGTCTTGAACAGCCAGATCACCTGCTCCAGCACAGAATCAAGGCAAGCTACTGCTTCGTTGCGACGGCCTACCTCTGTGATGTTTTTTCCATTTTTCCATGTTGTTGTGGGAAAATGGGACAACGAAACGGACTTCCTTGTTCGTTCAGTGGCCAGCGACTCTGTCTTGTTTCACATATCACCACGCCACGTTGGTAGAAATATTTACCCTTGATACCCTTGTTATTGTTCAGCATTCGATTACTCACATGGCCACATTAATCATGCTGTGGTGTGAAGAAGATCAAGATGCTTGTGACTGATAAAGTCGTGCTGCGTGTGGCATCACAATCGATAGGAAAACTATCAGATTCTAGAAGATATAACATTGTCAAAAATATTGGGGGCGGTGATGCAGTACTATGTGAGTTCATTCTTGTTTACAAGAAGAAGAGATCTTCACTAATCACTCTCAACATAGATACTAGGTATGAAATATTTAGGAGCAGAGGGAGAAATAGAGGATGCATTACGTCGGACATCGGAGTGAAGCTACTCCTTCTTGGCGGAAAGGTCGAAGAATTCAGCATGAATTTGTTACCACACGATCTTGAAATTAGAATCATACTGGCAACTACTAGATATATATCTTTTTTGTTTTTCGGAGGAGCGGTTCCTCCACGTCCAACAACTTGTGCTGTTTTCACTGTGAAGATGAATTCAAATAACATTCTTTCATTTTTATTTTTACGTTGAAGTACATTTGAAAGAAGTAGAAGTAGAAAGAAGATTATTGTGGCCCCAGCGGAGGTCCTCGCGGCTATTTGTGTGTGTACAGAGTACCAAATCATCTCGATATCGCGCGAACGCATTTGCTCATTCTACGGCGGGGGCTGCGATTTTTGATATGACGAACTATTTCTACTTGCAGCAGCTTCAGAGATAGTTCCAAGTTTGAAGTTTACTGTCCTCCAATATGAAAGAAATAGCTGAAGCTCAGAGTCAGAAGATGACTCAAGAAGAATACACCGCATAGATATCACTACGCACGACAGAGATCAAGGAGGTCTTCGCTGAGGGTCCGGAAGAACTCGTCCTCCGCATCTCTAGGATCAAGCAGTTTGCTTCCCTAGGTCTGTCTAAATGTTTCTTTGTGTTCGCGGATGTAAGCTACGCGCGCGACAGCACTCATATGTCAAATACAGTATTCCGCGAAAAGTCGGTAACGGTATGAGAAAGTGACGCATGGCTTTTTCTTTTGTAGGGATATGGACGATGCAATACGAAGGTCGTAGAGACTTTAGATTTGGTCCAATGCTGCATTAGTTTCGGGTGTTAGAATGATTTTTTTTTGGCACTGTGCGTGGCAAGCTAGGTGTCGGTTGGCGTTGCTGGATTTTTTTCGACACATGAGTAGCGAGAGAGGTTTTTTTGCACACATCATCATTGATGATCCGCTTCACAAGGAATCGCGGTCCAAGATATCTGCTTCATCTGTTAGTAGCCTCTACATGTCTTCATTTTTTTACCTTGAAACGATCATCATCATACAATGTTATTGTGTGTTTTTTACTCGAATCAGAATCAGGGTAGACTTTTCCTTGATGTTCTTGTTCATTTTACCATTTTTTTCAGGGAGCTGGAGTAGCTTTTTTCGTTTGTGACGTCTTAGAACAATATATTCGAGAATGATTTTTGCCAGTTTGTTTCGGGCAATATATTCCTTTTTCGACAAGGAACAGATAGCAAGTTGTAAAAACATCAAGGTGGGGAATATATTAATTTTATTTTGGAAGTACTTTCTTTCACTAGTAGAGGCCGTCCTGGTGCTGTGTGTGGTCCTTTGTATTGTAAGCAGAGGGTGACAGTGACCCGAGGTTTTGAATTTTTCTTATACGCAGGAAGATACAGAGGTCTGGATTATTTTCATGCGTAAGTATCATTTACTCGGAGAGCAAAAATGACTTCGTTTTTGAGTCGAGCAGCTTTGCAATGCCAGTTCATGGGTGCTTGGGCAGGTAGCGCCTCCTCCAGCGTCTCGGCTCCTTCCGAAGATCTATACTCATTTTCGCTTCCAGCGGTCCTTATACCTGGAGACGATCATGACCTCGACCGGTTGGCAACGAAATTATGCTTATTTATAGTAACAGAGTAGAGAAGACTGAGAAGGTTCCTTTTCCGCTTGATAGCGTGTTCTTGCCCTCGTCGAGGCAGCATTGTGCTTGAGTTGGTCTCCTCGATCATATGTGCCTTTTGTTCCTCTGTTGATACGGATACCAAAGTGCCAGTCACAGTCATATATACCAGTACTACTTAACTACTTTTTACGATGCTTGTAAGTACTAACAAACTAAGAAATGATGTTTGTAAGTACTTCTCAGATGATGGGATAGAGTTTTTGAACAAAATAGATTCGCTCGAACAAAAACGGGACGCGTGAATTGCGCTACCACTAGCAACAACCCGAGCGTGGCAGAGCGTATCAATGTTCGTGACAATCGTAACAAAGAGGAAGGAGCGCCTCCTACCCTGCTTACTACAGATTCTGACGCAGATGAACAAAAATTAAGGCTATCCATATCTATAAGTATTCCTCAAAGAAACGTATATTGTTGCAAGCATATAATTACTCAAAGAATAATTTCATGCTTGCAGTTGCAGCAAGATTTCCATTCGCCTTGTATACCTAGTTGGGCGCATCGTTCTCGTCCACCTCCTCCTCATCCGCCGCCTTGTCCGCAGCGGATACTCAACACGCATGAGCATATTTAATCTGATAGCAGCTTTAAAACAAGGCGCTGGCGATCAACATTGCGTGGAGAGTGATGCGGTGCAGCTGGAGGAGTCCAGCACGGCTGCGAAAGGTAACACCATGGCCATGTACAAGGGCAAAGTGCTCTTGATCACCAACTTGGCGTCTCGCTGAGGAGTAACATCTTAAGGCCTTATTTGTGATGCGTTTAAAGGTAGTATCCGCACTCACACTTTCTGGAGAGTTTGTTCTGCTTCGGCAACAGTTGAAGATTGCTTCTAGAATCGATCTGGAGAAGAAACTTATTATCAAATGGATAAGTCTTTGATTATAATAGCAATAGTTAGGTCTGCTCCACCACGATTATAATAGCAATAGCGCTAATAAAAGCGCGACTATGCGCAGCTGAACGAGTTACACGAGAAGTACCACTCTGACGGATTGAGAATCCTTGGATTTCCAAGTAACGATTTTAACCAAGAGCTCGACAATGCTGGAGTAGCTGCGTTCGCGAGATCGAAGAGTGTTCGCTGGACCGTCTTTGAACGCATCTCGGTTAACGGGAAAGAGGAGCTACCATTGTACTTACGACATCAACTGTTGATGTGAATATTAACAAACTCTTCAAGAAGATGATACATAGACATTGTGTATTTTTTTCTGCTTTTGGTTTTATTTTTTGGAAGTTTTTGGCTTCACCCAACAGTGGGTGCATATTATGACTCCGAAAAGGTGCAGAAGCAGATTTGAGATTGCTGGTCTTAGGTTCTTTTGCAAGATAATTAAAAACTGGCTAGTCACAGAGAGAAGGAGTGAAGGAAGAAAGTCCGTGCTCCTGGGTATTATATGCAGAATTTTAGAGCGTAACGGGATAGGAGTAAACATCTTGCGCCATTTTGAGTGGTGTCCATTCCTAAACTGACACCGAGCGACCCCGACGATAGAGAGAAACGCGACGGCAGGAATCAACGCCGCCTCGCGAAGGGTTCCCTAGCGCGTGTTCTCGTCTATCGTTATACCGTCGGTTTTGCGCGAAACTTGTGAAATGTTTCGAAATCGTAAAAAAAAAGGTGCGCACATCGCCCGCATAGTTTGGCTTCGAAGGTTGTGTGGCGTTCGCGCCACTCTCAGTCGTGCGCCCCCATGCGCTCTGTCGTTCGGTATCTGTGTTCTTTGTCCTCTGTGTTCCGCGCCATCTCCGTGGGCTGGTTGTTAAACAGCGAAACAGTTTCGTGTGGTTCGTTTGTCTTCGGCTTCTGTCTTGCGGGGTTCGTTGTGGCCAGTCTCGCTTGTCCACTGGGTGGATTCGCAGGGGCTTCGGCTAAATTGCTGCGCTTCATCTCCCACCCCCTCATCATCATCATCAAGGGCCGCTTTTTCCTTCGTAGTTGAAAGAAGCATTTTGATACTAGCCTCCACAAGCTTCGCCCGGCTTCAAGTTAGTTAAGCACTTTTCTGCAGCCTCCCACGGGCTACAGCCGCTAGAGTAGAGACAGCCCGCGGGTGAGCTGTTGCACCCTACGAATTAACTACGACAAGAGCCGAGCACGGTGGCCGACTCAGATCGATGCGTCGACTCATGTGCAGCGCATTGCGCTGCCTTCGGTTTTTTTATGAGATTGCCGGGGGGGTCATGCAAATTCTTAAGAATTTGCAAGACCCCCACGGCAGTCCAACGAAAAAACCAGAAGAGGGCCGCCAGACACGCACAAGAATCCGCAAGCCCCAACGCACGCAAACACCTCGCGGTGGCGCCAGGCAAGAACGGGCGGCGGCTTTAGCGGGCCAAACAAGACAGAGCATAAGCAACGCAGGGCCGCGCTGCTCGGGTCTCTCTACGCGCTTACACCTGGCGGGGCTTCTTTGTTATTGTTTCGCCAAATGTCTCTCGACAGAAACAGACGGGCGCACTTCGCGGGGGCGTGGGGCGTCGCGCTTCGGGTTGTGGCTGAAGCCTCTTGACTGGCTGACGTCTTTCGCCAGGATGGAGGCTGAGGCCTTCCATCAGACTGATGCCGTTCGTCAGACCAACGCGCTGCGCCAGGCTGGCGGCCTTCGTCGGACGACAGGCCGGCGCCCTTCGGCGGACGTCGTGGGCCAGGCTGAGGCCCTTCGTCAGGGTCGGGCGACGTCTCTCGTCAGGCTGACGCCTTTCGTCAGACTGAAGCGCTTCGCTTGGCCGACATTCCTCGCCGGGCCAAGACTCACGCCTTTGGTCAGGTTGATGGCTTGCTTCAGCATGGCGCCGTTGGTTCGTCAGGCTGATGCACTGACCAGCCAGGTGACGCCTCTCGCCAGACCGGCGCACTGCTTCGCCAGGCGTCTGCCTTGCGTCGGAAGCGGAACAGGCTGCGCGGGGCCTTTCTTCGGGCTGCGGATGTCTTTCCTTCGTGAGGTTGATGCTGCCCCTTCGTCGGACTGACGTTTTTCGCCAGACTGACCGCGTTCGTCGGACTGACGTCCTTCGTCAAAGGTCTTCGCTATCCTCGTCGAGGTAGGGCTTCTCGCCACAGGTCAGGCGGCAGCTTTTCTGGCAGGGGTCGTTCGTCAGATGTCTGCTGTCGCGGGTCTCTTGTCTTGTCGGAGATCTTTGGTCCAGCGGTCGTCTCTGGTCGTCCAAAGGTCGCCTTTGGTCCAACGGTCGCCTTTGGTCCAAGGGTCGCCTTTGGTCCAAAGGTCGTCGCACTTTGGTCCAAAGGTCGTCTTACTTTGGTCCAAAGGTCGCCTTACTTTGGTCCAGCGGTCGGCTTACTTTGGTCCAAAGGTCGGCTTACTTTGGTCCAGAGGTCGCCTTAAAAGGTCGCCTGTGGTCTGCGGGTCGTCTGTGGTCCAGAGGTTGCCTCTGGTCTGAGGGTCGTCTTTGGTCCAAAGGTCAGCTTTGGTCCAGAGGTCTGCCGTGGTCCAAGGGTCGTCTGTGGTCCACAGGTCGTCTTTGGTCCAAAGGTCGCCCTTGGTCCACAGGTCGCGTCTGGTCCAAAAAACGCCTCTGGTCAAAAGATCGTCTTTGGTCCACAGGTCGTCTTTGGTCCAAAGATCGCCTCTGGTCCAAGGATCGCCTTCGGTCCAAAGATCGTCTTACTTTGGTCCAAGGGTTGCCTTATTTTGGTCCAAAGGTCGCCTCACTTTGGTCCAGAGGACGCCTTACTTTGGTCCAGAGGTCGCCCTACTTTGGTCCAGAGGTGGGTCGCCTTACTTTGGTCCCGAGGTCGTCTCACTTTGGTCCAAAGGTCGTCTTACTTTGGTCCAAAGGTCGTCTTACTTTGGTCCAAAGGTCGCCGCACTTTGGTCCGAAGGTCCCCTTACTTTGGTCCGGCGGTCGTCTGGTGTGGTCCAAAGGTCGCCGGTGGATGTGGTCCAAAGGTTAAGGTTGCCTGTGGTCCAAAGGTCGCCGGTGGTCCAAAGGTCGCCGGTGGTCCAAAGGTCGTCCCGGGTCCAGCAATAGCAAAGATCGCCTTGGGTCCAAAGGTCGTCTTGGGTCCAAAGGTCGTCTCGGGTCCAAAGGTCGCCTTTGGTCCAGAGATCGCCGCTGGTCCAACGATCGCCTTTGGTCCCCGGATCGTCTCTGGTAGGTCCAACGATCGCCTTTCTTTGGGTCAAAGATCGGACCAAGGATCGCCTTCAGTCTGAAGGTCGCCTTCGGTCCAAAGATCGCCATTGGTCCAGAGGTCTGGGGTCCAGGTGTCTGTGGTCGAAGGTCTTTCTTCGGCTGTTTCTCTTTGGACTTCTCTCGCCAGCTTGCGCCCCTACCCCCGTCGGGCATTTTCCTGGCTTCTTTTCTGGTAGTCTGCCACGGGGCTGCAACGTGAACTCCAACAAGAAAACGGCCGGAGACTATCGGGCTTAGGAGTGAGGGGAAAGGGCAAGAGGCTATGGGCAATAGCTTCGCGGCAGGAGGCGACTAATCTCCGGTGGGTTAGGCGGGGAGTTTTATGGCGGCGGAGATTAATAATAGATTATTTTTTTGTTCTGTTTTTTATCTATCAACTTATAAGAATTGTGCTAGAAGTTGCTGGCTGTGCTGCTCTAATCTATGGTTACCTGAAAAAGCGGGGATCGGGGTTTATCACGAACAATATCAAGTGGAACTTCGCGAAGTTTCTGGTTTCCCGCGATGGTAAGGAGATCGTTCGCTTTGGGACGGATGTCGGTCCGCTCAGTTTGGAGACCAACATTCGGCGAATGTTGAGTGGCCAGGCGGGAGAGAATGTAGAGGCGGAGGGGGAGGAGTCTATTTAGGAGTGTTATTGACAATGAATTAGTAGTCTACAACTTACTATGAAAATGGTGGTGCCGAACCCAAGAATTCATGCCCACCTTGGCTATGATGACGGGTTCATTGTATCTTTCTAGTAGCTGCAGTTGACTTTGTTGTAAGTAATAATTTAAAGATTTTTATTCTGGTACTATGACTATTTTTCGACATACAGATTTCTCTTCTATTGCATACTCACTTAGGGAGTACAACATATTATCGTGAAAAATATAGGCGTCTTTCGTAGTCTTGGGTCAAAACGAACAATTTTTAATTCGTCGTGCGAAACCTTCATATTTTCACATTTTGGTAGACGGAATCTAAAAGCATGTCATTCATAGGTCATAACAAGCCATGGTCCCTCTGAAAGAGTGGCACTCGAAAGAAATGGAGTTATTTCATCGATGTACATTGTTGTAACAATGAGTTGTAACAATTACTTAGAACTACTAGCTCAAGTTCTGCTTCTGGTCTGTGAAAGGATTATTCACAGATTTCGTTCAATATCCTGTTATTGTGGAGGCGTCTGTACTGCATTGTTGGATTAGATTTGAGTCATCGACTTTGTATTTTCCTAAGCAGTAGAAGTAATCCTGAAGAAGGCGGCAGCGGAGCATGTGTCGATATTAGAGAATCAGTGACGCCATCATTCGAAAATCGCGGTGTGTGGTGCACCATGAACTTGCGAGATGGCTGATTTTTTTAAGCTATTGAAAGTGAGCTACTCAGAAGTGCTTATGTTAATAGATACAAATCGAATCTCAATCAACGTCTACGTTCATCGTGGACGATCATAACAGGGACAAAAGCATGCATGTGGGAGGTACATCACAGCCACAGACAGGAAACAATACAGACTGTTGTACTTTCTACGAGGACGACGCGCGTCCACTTCTCATGCGAAACGTCGTTTTAAGATCATGATTCACATTCATGTTGATGCCTGACTTATTTTTATCCGTGCCTAGGGAGTCTAGTCTTAGTCCAAGCAGCCGTTGACATGCTTGAATGCAGGAGGCATATACTATGATGTTCTTTACCTGAGAAAGTGCATGCTACATGTTGAGCTGCAAGCATCTTGCGAGTTTGGCTTTTTGCAGGTGTGCGAAGCAGAATGAATATCTTCGTTCCATCGCGTACGCGTTTTCTAGTTTGAGAGTAGAAAGAGACAGAGATAGAGAGAAAATCACGAGAACGAGATCAAGAGACCGAAAAAATTAAGATGATGAATGCTTTGAAGTATGCGCTGCGCGTGCTGTGCTTGCCCCTCGCAATCGAAGACGTGGTAGAAAGACTAGGGCTTGTGACTTCCGATGATTCTGCCTTAGCAGAGGATCACAACTTTTTTGTGAGTGCAGTACGACGAGCGGGGCTGCGTTTACCAGCTCTCTCTGAGCACGGCGATAAGGAGAGGAGTCAAAGCACATCGGACCGTAGCGTGACACGCCCTGCAGGAGAGGAAGAAGGAAAAAATGACGGCGTTGATATCGTTGCATCAAGAATGCAGCTGGGGAAAAGCGGCGAAAGTGTGGCTGACAATGAAGATGTGAGATCGTCAAGTAGTTCGGACCTCGACTCTGGACTCGAAAATAGTCGTGGAAAGGAGGACGAGGATGCCAATGCTTCAAGCCGTAGCTCGCATTCGCTGTGGTTTGGCGGCGGCGATCGCAGCGGGCTTGGGACATCATCGCGCGTTCAGGCAGACGGAATGTGCTGTTTTCCCACGCGACGTGGAGGTACGGATAGTGGAGGAGGAAATGGGGAACAACGCCTGTCGGTTTCTTTTCCGTCGTTGTTGCGGCAGCGTAAGATGCCGCGAGCCGCGACTGGTAGGTCGGCCGGTCTGAGTAGTGGCCTTCAGCGCCAGCTGTCCTCTACATCATCGGCGAGCGACGAGTCAGCTGCAAGGGGATTGGCGGAGAACCGGCTTCCGTCTTCCTCGCCGAGTCTGTTGGAGAGCAGTTTCCTTTCGTCCTCCGCCCGCGACCTCCGTGACAAGAGCATTCGGGCTTCACGTGCTGGAGTATTCCAATCCTTATTTAAGACTTCAGGAAATCGAAATCAATTATCTAAGACTTCAGGAATCGATGTGTTTCAAGATAGATGGAGCATTTTTAAGGGAAAGTCTAACTTATGGACGCCTTTTCGCCGGGATCACGAGAACGGTATTCGATCGCTACTGTGTCGCGGAGGAGTACCACAAGAGAGTTTCGCGACCAATGCGGGCCACACGTCGGTTGAGGAGCTAAATCTGCAGCACCTCATGCAATCTGAAAAGACGGATGCGATTGACTCGTCGGAGCCATCCGCTCTAGGCCGGATCGTGGAGACTCCCCCAGGGGCAGGAGATGGTGTCGGAGCTCCCTCTCCTCTTGTGTCGCCATCCTACATCGACCTGTTACAACGAGCGGGAGACGGGGAGCATCAGCGACCGCGCCTACTCGCGGGCACGCGCAATACGAAGGGCCAGCCTCACGGACCGGATCGATTCTTCACAGGCAGCACTGCAGCTTCGAGTCGGGCATCGTCTGCCTACTCTAGCCCGACTGAAATTTCAGTGAATGAACTGCAACAGCCAGGTCCCGGTCCCGCAGCGGGAGTTTCCGGCTCGTTCACCTCAACACCAGACACATTACCGCATCAAGAGCGAACGCATGCTAGTGTTGTTGACCACACTGCAGGAGATGACAGCGGCGGCGCGGTCCTTGGCTTGTCTTCTTCTGGAACACTGGTGCGCTCGTTTCCCGCGACCGCATCTTCACCTGCGCTCATCAACATGACAAACGACTGCGGATTTCCAGGCGCTTGTGGCGAACCGGCGACGCTCTGCCCGCCGCTGGGGGAGTATCCATCTTTCATGCGCAATTGCGACATGGGGGCCTCCTCCTCGCTGAGGCTCCACTCTTCCTCCTTGCGATTGCAGCAGTACCTGGACGGAGACTGCTGGGATCAGAACTTCTTGCGTAGCAGCACTGGCAGTCTTCTGGGAGGCCCTGTATCCCCTGTCGCAGAGTCGTTTGGCGACAACAGGACGAACTCGTTCCAGATGATACACCAAAAGCGTCGCGTGCCGCCACTTTTAGGCCGCAAGGGGGGTTCGTGCGGTGGCAGTTTTTGCCGATTAGACCGCAGAAGCAAAATGCGCAACATTGGTTTTGTAGCGCTTCTTTCTGGAGCCGTCGCTGCGCTAGTGGGGGCACCGGTGATATTTGGAGTCCATCAAGCCATGAACACCACGACATTTGGCGCCGGCCCAGGACGACCGGCACCGGACGTTCGCGGCGCGGCGGTCTCCGAAGGTGGTCATGTGCGGGACGTGCACCAGTTCCCCGCTTCTCTCGAGGGCCGCGCGAACTACCACTGTGAAGCTCCTCCTCCAACGAGCGGTAGGAAGAAAACTGAAAAGCAAGGCGAAGCAGATAAAACAAGCGATTTCTCTCACTACCCTGGCGCACGTGCCACTGCTGAAGAGATCGACACGTGCACGGACTGGACGCGAGCTGGCCTGAATTTAGTCTCCACCGTAGAGCACCAAGGGTTTTGGTCGTCTACGGTCACTTGCGGCACTTGTTGGGCGTATGCAACTGCGTCGCAGATCGAGGCGCAATTGGCGCTCACACGTAGAGACGGAATTCTGCGGCGCGTGGACATCGGAGAAATCATCGCGTGCAGTAGTCGAGAAGAGCGTTTAGAACATAATCGCTACAACGGGATTCCGGTAGAGGCGGTCGCGGCGCAGGAACTTCCTGTGGAGCGCCTTTGTTCGGACGGCAATGTGCAGACATGGGTGTATGTGTACTTGACGCAAAACGGGATTCGGCTTCTGTCCGAGCCAACGAAAGAGGATGCGGCTGCCATGTGGGGTGCTTCCAAAAACAGAGACGAAGGCGCAGTGGGAGGGTTTTTCCGTCGTCTGTTTTCTCGACGGAGAGGCGACTCTAGCAGCATGGAAGATATGAGGGATACAGCGACAGCAGCGGCGCAGGCAGAGGGTCGTGGGACACAGCCGCTCGACGTGGTAGGCGCGGCTGATCGACGTCGCAACGAGAATCCGGACGGAAGCTACGACGACCCTGCCCGCGCGAAGAGGGACGCGGCTGCGCTCAAACAAAGGGAAGAATCACGTTACTTCTTGAGCGAGGATCACGAAGTCTCGTATCCAACGAATACGTATGATGACGTCGAGCAAGATATTCCCTTCCGCTTCAAGACCGCACCGCGAGGAAGCGGAATCTATCCCGATGAAGGCCCGCGACAATTGTATTGCCAGACGCAGCGGCGTTTTGTCGAGCCCGCTGCGCGAATCCGAATTGCAGACGAGAGCTGGCGGGTGGGTCGCAACCCGTGGGCGCCAGCGGAGCAGGACGTTGAGAAAATGAGCGGGCAAAGGGAGCAAGGGCAACGTCATTTGTCGGAAGAACATGATGAAGACGAATCACAGGAAAAGGATGAAACTGAGGGCCCTGTGCGGATGATCGAGAGGAGAAGGCTTGTGCAGAGCGACGACGGACTGAGATCTCTTGGATCCTCACCTACAAGGGCAGACGAGAAACCACTGGGATCGCAACTGACGGAGAACCAGTTGCGGGATTTGTTCTACAATCCTCCAAGGCTCCGTGGTCACGCGATAGAAGAAGAGGTGGTGAAATTACGAGCGCCGCCTGGTCGGCGAGAAGCGTACGACTCCAAGTTCCAAAAATCCGTGTTACAAGACGTCAAACCGCCAGGCTCGAATTTCATGCAGTTCAGCACCGGAGGCTCATCGAAAGACGGGGAGCACGAGTATCGTTTCGGCTCTACGCCGCCGAGAGACGGATATCGGGAGGAGTCCGAAACGATATCGAACAACAAACAGCGATCACGTGTTGAAGAGAAGGAAGCTGGAGCTGAGCATGATAGCTCCATTGCGCGGCGCTTGCAGGATCTACGTCTGGAGGACGAGAGCACGCAGAGTACTACAGGAGACTCGAAAAATAACAGAGAGTTTGTAGGAGGAGAGGAAGCTTCTTCTACCGCAGACCATACAATGAGAGGGAACTCCAAGCCAGCCAGTGGGTCGGCTGATCAAGAGCAAACGGTTCGAGCTGGACAAGAGCAGCGTTTGTCGACATTAGAAGAAGCTTTTATGGACCTACTGGCGTCTCAGCAGGGCGACGACGACCTGCATCCAATACTCGACGGCCCTGACGACATTGTGAGGAATGTTGAAAGTCAGCCGAAGCGTTACGACATAGGTGATGCCGACGCTGAAGGCGTGGAGGTCTTGGAGGAGGAAGAAGCACGAGAAGTCGCAACGAATGCTGGTGAGAAGCGAGATCAACTAGTGGAGGGAGGCAGCGAGACAGCGTTATCGTCTGGGAATCCCCACACGTTCGGCGGAGCGAGGAGTCGAAGTAATGAACACGTGCCAAAACATGTCCAAGAACAAGAAGATGGAGGTAAAAAAGCCTTAGAACTTTCTACTCTGCCATCGATTCGTGCCTACGACGATGATCAGATAGAAAGAGGGGCCAGCATCTACCCGTTCGAGGACACAATAATCGGCGCTGGTGGCCCACGTGAAGCAGCTTCTAAAAGCACAACTTACAACGTCCCTGACCCAAGTGCTACACGCAAAGATGAGAGTTCTACCACAGCCATGCCTGTGAGTCCATACGCGAACGGCTTCTATCAACCACCGAAATTCAAGACGAAGGCTGAGCAAGAAGAGTTACAACAGGCTGGACGACTAACGGAAGTGTCAGTAGGCAACGATCTGCTCCAGTGGCATGGCTCGGAGGATGATATTCGAATACAACTGCAGAAAATGCCGGTTGTAGGTCTCGTAGACGCGCAAGGACTCAAGAAAATTTCGGTACTCGGTTTTGTTGACTCAACATAGTGATGGTACTAGTATACGTAAGGTACTTGCTGGTGTGTAAGTATTTCATGTTACTTTATTGAAGAGAAACATCGACCTCTTACTTTCATTACATGATCAGGAAAGTCATGTTCGTTCTCAATTGAACTTCCAGTAGGCACTTTGTTCTTGCAGTCTGTCAATGTGAAAAATGGTGAGGAAGAGCATTTTTATCTTCCTTCATAACTTTCTTTCAGTGGGGTGGTCGATGGCGCAAGAAGGTGATTGGAAAGGAGGACTTTCCTTCGTACACGCTAACCGGCAGCTTGCACCTGAAGGGGGATCACTACATTCAAGTAGTGGGTCTACGTCGCTCCGAAGACGGGACGCTCTACTGGTGGTGCAAGAATTCGTGGGGCAGGCATTGGGGTGACAACGGCTACTTCCGGCTCAAGTACGGCGACGGCCTGCTGCTCCACGCAGTTACCATCAAACCGGAGCTGCTAGAGCTGTGTCAAAGGAGAAAAGGTGACTCGGACTTTGTGTGTGATTAGACGAAGAGGTGCCCTTCTATCCGCTCGGAGGAGCAAAGAAATGAGCGCCATACTAGTCTGCTTGAAGTAGATTTCGCAACTGCGCCTCGCTTTGGTGTGACTCCTTATTCCCGCGAATTTGAATGGCGTTTCGAAAATGCTCAATGAATTACCAGAGACTACTTCCACTCTCGAAGACACACTCACATCTGCTTCGGCAGAGATCAGCCGAACTTGTGACTGTTGATCATGAGATTACATAGGTAGTGAAAAATGTTGAAAGTAGATAGAAGTTCAAAGTCTTGTTACATGTAACAAGTATCTATCAATTCTTTATTGCATTGTGTAGAAGTATGCAGCTTTAAAAACGTATTACGCTGATGACATGACCCTAGCAATATTTTTTTGGCACCATACTTATGATTGATTCTGGTGCAGATTTTGATGCTTCTGTTATCGCAATCAGCGACTAAAAAGTTTTGATTTGTACGTAGATAGAGTAGAGACCGTGCATGATGGATTGAGAAGTTGTGTGAAGCTCTCAGTCTGCTTTTCCCCGTCCGAAACCGGACCTGAATTTCTGTTTTGATGTTTGATAAACGCTTAAGAATATAAGTACTGTAGTTAGAAGCCAGTCTTCTGCTTACGATTCTACATACTAGGCATAGACTACTGAGTAGGCTGTTTTCATGGAGGTTTGTATGCATAGCCGATCTGCAGCTAAGAGCTAGATCACACGGAACAAAATTACGAAGCTGCGAGCGCGAAGTTTTACGAATAGAATCCCCAACACATACTCAGAAGTATCAACAAGTTGTTGAACAGTATTAAGTAGTTCTAGTTTTGTTACATGTCTAATTCTAATAGAAATAGCGTGACCTCAGCCTCACAAGCGCTTGCACCAGACAGACGACGTTGTCGTTTTGAGCTGTTGTAGGCTAAGTTTCTGAATGACTGCGAAAAACCCTTTTTGGATTCTTAGTTCCTCTTCTACGTTGATATTGATTTTATTTGCCAGAGGCATGTTCCCGTTGTCGTTTCGGCTTCGGGAAAAACCAACGGAGTTCCTGCTGCGCAGAGGCCGATAACGAGCAAGCTGGTAGGGTGATTTCTATTGTGAAGAGGAAGGGTCTCCTCGGGCTAAGGCGGGGAGAGAGTTCACGTTTCTAGCACAGGCTACTGCAAGAAGCATATGGAATGATTGTAATCAAATTTCTAAGTCTTGTAGAAAGAATGTAAGATGAAAACATATTGGATTTCAGCACTACGGAGTGCCAACGCAAGCCGCGTGATTTCCTTCAAGCGATGTCCTTTCCCACAGCGCAAGATGATGCCGTTCGCGAGGCAGTGACGCAGCTCCTGGCTTTTGCTTGCGTCATTGCGGCTGTGCTTGTTTACCGTAGTCGCAAGGATGTGTCGCGTATTTGCAGTGGAGATGAGGGGACAAGCAATTACGCTCTCCTCGATTTGGACGACCTGGAGGACGTCGATGCATCGCCTGAGGCCAGTGCGGGTGGAAGTATTCAAATGAATACTTCGAAAACTTCTACACGAACGCCAGTAGGGGCAGGAGGAAGGAAAAATCCGTTGAAGAAGGTCCTCGCGGTGGCGCGAGAGGTATTCGTCGGACGAGCAGCAGAGTCGAGCTCGAGTGTTGGTGGCGCAGAAGATGATCACCACAACATGATGAAAGCAACTTCTTCTACGACCATAACGTCATCTTTCGGACCTCCAATTTCTTCTTTCCAACAGATCAAAAGGCGGTATGTGGTTGGATATTTGCTGGCGATGTTCGCAGACTGGCTCCAGGGACCTTACGTCTATGCCCTCTACGACGCCTACGGTTTCTCGAAGGCGGACAATGGCCTGCTCTTCATTTTCGGCTTTGGCAGTAGTGCGCTCCTCGGAACAGTGATCGCAGGCTACGCCGATAAGTGTGGTCGCAAACGATTCTGCATCCTGTATTGCGTTGTTTACAGTCTTTCCTGTCTGACGAAGCATTGCAATCATTTCCCGATACTGTGTTTGGGACGGATTTTAGCAGGTGTGGCGACAAGTTTGCTGTTCAGTGTCTTCGAGTCGTGGGTGGTTTGTGAAGTCGGTAGGGTTACTAAAAGTAGGAACAATTCCGCACAAACGTCGACCCGGATAAACCGTAAGGATAGTTCACCAAGAACCAAGACCACTTCATCTTCACCACCTTCTGCGGTAGAAAAGGACGTGGAGCGCAACCTTTCGGACCTATTCGCAGCTGCGATATTCGGAAACAGTGTATGTGCAGTTGCGGCAGGGTTCTGCGCGCAGTGGGTGACTGAACTCAGCGGTGAATTCACTGTCTGGAAAACGGTAGGCAGTGACCCAGTCTCGGGAGGGAAGACGACGTCCAGTATAAGTACTAGTCAAAATGGTTATCTAGAGCCAGTGCCAGTAGGAGGAACTGGAGTAGCTGCAGGGATGAAGCTGGTCACGAATAATGTGAGTGTGATTCAGCCACCACCCGCATATGACCACTGGATACCGGGAACGAACTTTATCGTGTATGCAGGAAAGTTTCTCGGACCTTTCGACCTTGCTGCTGTTGTCCTGCTGTGCTGTGGACTCTATATTCAACTGCACTGGCGCGAGAACTTCGGCTATGGTGCGACAGTTGAGGGACAAGACTCGTCAGCGGGCGTGGAAGATCATCAGAAAGACCCATCGATGGAAGGACGACTTGAAGGGGAGGCACATGACGACCATGATATGGTTATGGACATGGAGCAGTACATCAGTAAAATTGGAAAACTACAACTTGCTACCACCGCGCTTGAAGCAGATGAGGGCGTCCCGGACGTGGTACTCACAACTGCGAACGCACCAGGAGGTACCTCGTTCAGTACTGGGAACTTTGCGGGTCCCTACGACGACCAACAAGGGAGTACACCGGTTTCTGAAAGGAAACCGAACGTCATTCTCTCTCCCAGTGAGACCGTTCTCACGGCTCTAGGAATACCCTCTTCACCCCTAGACGCGAGCGCGCAAACCAGAAAAGATTCGCAAGGTCGGGGCCCGTCGCCGCGACTATGGTTGAACGAAATTGTCGCACAGGCAGAAAAGTTCAGTAATGGAAGTGGTTCCGGCAGTGAAGAGCTCGCTTCAGTAGTTGGGCGACGATTTTCGGGGGACCATCCAGCGTCGAGTGGTCCTTTGACAGCGGGGCAGAAAAGCAGCGCGCAAGACACGATAGTCAACGAGAATGCTGAAGGAAGCAGTGAGCTAGCACGAGCATGGGGGATATTGTCAGAAAACAAGGAGATCCAGCGTCTTGGACTTATGGCGGCTTTTTTCGAATCGTCTATGTTCATCTTCGTCTTCTTGTGGACGCCGGCGCTCAACGACCTTGCGTATCCGAGAAGTACTGGAATTCAGGTATGATGGAGATTATGAAATTTTCATTTTCTACTTGGTCCAGGTGAAGAGCAGGGTTCTTCACGTCTAGGAACGTACTCTTCGACTTCCGATGAATTAGTCCATCGTGAACAATAGTTAGTGCCAACACGGATAACTCGCGTTGTTAGTAGTCTCAATTTTTTGTTTTCGACTTAATCTGAAAGCCCCCGTCTCTCCGTACTGTACGATCATGACTTCAAAGCCCCCTTAAAATAAAGATTTGTGCACGCAGCTTCATATGTTGAAGTTTTTGGCTTTCACACAACGGCGAGAAGCACGAAGACCACTCCGCAGCTCCGTATGGTTTGATCTTTGCGCTTTTTATGGTTTCCTGTATGTGCGGGTCGTGCCTTTTTTCGATTTTTGAGTCGCAGGTGAGCGAAAAAACCTTGGCTTCAGTAACGATCGGCCTCGCTGTAGCGAGTAATGCGCTTGTGCTGTGTACGACAAATGTGACAGTCTTGCTTCTAGGCTTCATGGGGTTCGAGTTGTCGCTAGGGTTGTACTTTCCGACGTTCGGAATTATCAAGAGTCGCTTAGTGCCTGAACGAAGTCGCGCGATGCTCTACAGTTTTTTCCGAGTTCCGCTGAACGTGATTGTCGTCTTATGTCTCGCTGTGGATCTTCCGGTCCGTGTCGGTTTTGGCTTCATCACCGCTATGCTCGTGTTGTGCGGCTACTTGCTCACGGGTCTCAGGCTGGATAAGCATTCATCAAGCAACACGCCTTGCAACAGTGAGACGAGTGCTGCACTAGAAGATGATGTTTTAGACCATGACAATAATATGCACTCCAGACTTGGTGGCTGCAGTTCCAAGCGCACAATCGGAGCAACATCGAAAGAACAAGTGGAATATTATCAACTGGACGCGCAGGACGAAGAAGAGTCTCTGGATGTTATCGTCGAAAGTCCAGACATTCAGAGCGACAGAAGTCCCGAAGTGGAAATGGTGCTGATGAGCCAAGGGAGTAGCCGGCACGGATCTGCGCCTGGTCGTGATGTGGTCGAGCAGCAGGGGGAGATCCTTCATCACGTTCAGGAAGATATCGATAGAACTGCTCAACTGCAGTCAGGACAAAGTGGTCCGTCTAGCTTGAGGACCGGTGTGCAGCATAATATAGGCGTGATTCGCATGCCGCCACCGAGAAGGCTTGGCAGACCGCATGAAACGGAAATTGCCGGTGGGAGTTCAGGAAGCCGTCCTGGTGTTACGAATTCGTCTGCCAATCGTGTGAAAACTAATCCAAGTAACCGCCACGGACCCGTTTCAAGCGCGATATCATCCGACGACAGTGAGGGAGACGCAGCCGATGTCTCAAACTTTCTCGTTTTCACCGGGAGTCCCAGAACGAATTCTGCGAATCCGGGTATCGGTGCAGATATTTCAGAAAAAACGAGTGCGTCAATGCTGCATACGAATCTTAGGGGAGGCGAGTCTGGCTCTGGTTCTTTCGGGGTCGTGCAGCTTCCCTCAGCAGCAAATATGGGCGTTCGTCTTGGGAATGAGAGCAGTGCGGTCAATAAAAATTACCCTATATTAGAAGCCGCCGCAGCGAGAGAACAGGGCATAGCGCGTCCGACAGATAACGACAGGTTGAAAGCAATGATGAAGGAACTGGACTCATCCTCTTCGGATGGATAGAGCGTTCTCTTCCTAGCGCGCACTATAATTATTTTCTTTGATGAACATGCATCGTTGATGTGCTTGAGCAGCCTTCTTTTACTCTGCCTTGGAATTTGACGCTCAAAAAAGAAATGTCAAAGATCCAAGCGTTACCAATGCTTTGCACTTGATATTGATGAAGAAAAGCGAGACAGACAGTGTCAGGAAGCTGAAATCCAATTTAGCTTAGTATCGTAAGACGCAGATGATTATATTCTGCAAATCTAAACGTGAAAAGAGTGTCACCAGGAACTGTGTGCTTACTCTGTAACAAGCGGTAATTCTCTGTCCAAGAGGGTCTAAGTAAGATATTGCACGTCATCACCGACGCATATTTTACATGAAATGACTTGAAAAGAAGTTATAATGATCAAACGTGTCTGTCCAGAGTGTGGCGTGTTCTAGATTTTAGGCTAGGCGTCTGGTTTGTTAGGCTGGCTCCACCAATAATATTTGGTTTCTCAAGCGTCTACGACGAAAATACAAACGGACTGTTAGAAATAGTATACGAGCTTACGGATGTCGCGCATAGTATAAGAACGAGACGCAAGAAGGATCTACGAAGTGAAAACTGAAGAATATTATGAAAATTGTAGGAAGGAAGCTCTGAATTACAAGAATTGAAACATGATGATTTATCAATGGTGAATGGAAGGGAAAGTTCAGAATCTCGTAGCTATAACGAGTTGTCTTTCGGTGGTGTTCTTCTGGATGTGGTGGTGTACTTCCTTGGCATCGGTCCATGTTGTTCTTCGTCTTACGCATCTGTATTTGAGCGATTCGGTCCTGTTGTGCTTATCGGTTGAGGCTGTTCCTTTTTCGGCGGTCTGCCAAACCATGACGGTGACGCGCTTCATGAGGACACGACTTACGGTTGGCACCTTGTCTCCTCGTGCTGGGAGCTCTGGGCTGCAAGTGATGCTTATGGCCCACAGCCCTGACCACATCCCTTAACTTAATCGGTTTAAGTTGTTAATGCTACCGAAATAACTTCCCCTTTCCCTCTTAGCTCTAGTGTGTGCATTTTCAATTAGACTCTCTAAACGCAGAAATTACAACAACCTACAATCTAGTCCATTCATCCTCATAATTGTATACATAGTAGTGCATTAGCAGGGCTAGATTTGGTAAAACTAAGGAAGGTATTGTGAGTTTTACCGTGAAGATCTATCATTATCATTCCTATGAAGTTGATAAACAAAACCATTGTCGAGTAGGAGAAGTAGTTCTTGTGCGTAGATTCTGCGTGTCTGCGCCGCGCGCATTCATCTTGACGGAGTGTTCCGCACTCTGAGAGGCGAAATTAGCGGCTAACCCGCTTCAGCCGACGTCAAACTCTCGTGGCCCAGACAGGACACTTCAAGTCGCTGTACGAAACGTGCGTCCGACCTAGAACGATTGCTACTAGGCGATTCGTTGGCTCTTTTCCGCAAGCAATATCATCCATCAGTTCCTCTTCCTGAAATCGTACGCGAAAGGCGGACGTACACAACACAAAGATGCCGGTCGGTGGTAACAGAAGCACCTCTGCACCAGTGATGCAGAGGTACTCAAACTACGAAGCAGCACCAAGATACTCAATAACCGGGAAATGGAAGATTCTCGAGAGGAACCAAGGCATTCCAGCAGCAAACAAGTACTCTATTTTAGTTGTACTAGTACTAGTGTTGCAGCTCCTGTGTGTGCAGCGTTGGCACGTGTACCGTAGACACTCATACAACATATGATCGAGATCAACTTCAAACAAGTACCAAGTAGAGATTACACATACATACCACAGCTTTTCTCGTCTTTCTGAAATTGAAAAAACTCCAACCTCGTTTCCACTACGTGCGCAGGTATGATACACGAGAGTTGATCAAGTACACCTCGAAATACGGGCAAGTTAGTAATGCATGCGGCTTCGGTTCCGCACCGAGGTGGGGAAAAAACAAAGAAGATGGGGTTACTGGAGGACCCGGTACTGTGGACGATTGCATCGTGATAGATAATGATAGATAACTAAGTCTATAATTTTTAATGTTGAAGAAAGAACAAATCAAAGTACCATAAAAAGAACAAACTAAAGTCTTACACGACAACCCTTTCCTGGCTTGATAAAATAATTTTCTTTCATCTTCATGCCTTCGTCTTAGGTCAGTATGAGACAGCAAGATCGACCATAAAGCGATCCGATATCAGTTTCGGAAAGAGCACTAGGCCGGATATTACAGGCGTGATCGAGAAGGGTCCAGGACCCGGACAGTATGAGGTATCTACATGGGTTTTTTTTTGATCTACTTTAATAAATAAATAGAGTCCATAACAAGTCAGACTTTCCTTTGTCTGACTGCAGTACCATGCTGTTATTTGCACAAGATCAGGTGAACATTTTAATGTGACAGTCTCTCTCTACTCCCTCGACACCTCGTCCTCCACTTTCTTAGGTCCGCGACAAGAACAACAAGAACGACCCGAGTATGTCGCCATTGACAATCAAGTTCGCCGGAAGGCATGGGTGGTATTATGAGAACCCCGAGGATGCGAAGAGGCCTGGACCGGGCACGTACTCATTGAATTTCGTTCAATGTGAAGCACCAGTTGGTACCGAAACGAAGATCGGAACAGGCTTGCGCCCGAGCATGGAATCCCATTTAGGCGTCGATCCGCGCAATCCCTCAGTTGGTCCAGGACACTATAAGGTACTGATCTAAATTCTGACTTTTCTGACAAATGATGTCGTCAACGCAAACTCTAAACAAAGGTGGTTATGGCCTTCTTCCAATGTTGCACCCAACAACGTCGTCTCTTCACCTTTTTCCACTCCCATCTCACCAGCACTTGACGACACTTGGCGGAGCTATTATCGCGCCGTACAACTACGCCCCGCGCTACTCGTTCACGACGGCGAGCTATCGTACCAAGACGCGTGCAAAGGACGATCCGGACATGATCCTCCAGCCTACACAGTTCCCGAAGGGAGGGTTCTCGGGTTAGGTGTGTTAGTATTAGTGGTGCCGTTGTACTGCTGCTGCAACGAGTAGAAACCCTCTCAAATGAATCGCGGGAAAGAAATTGGTGTGGGGTTGCATAGGACAGGCTGGCCACTCGTGGGGATGGATGCGGAAAGCGGTCAGGCGTAGACGCACAGATGATTTGTTGTAGATTTAGACTAATTCACCAAATTGAAATTGAAAATGAACAAATTCATGCATACTAGGTAGTGCTTATCTTTTTCACATGAACATCTTAAAAACATCACTCAACAACATTCGTTATTGTAGACTAAATTTCAACGCCAGTAGAGCTTATTTGCATTGTCTAACATAGGAATAATTGCATATTGATATTCATCTTTGCGGATGAAGAGTAGACCGAAGAACAGAATTCGTACGTACCGAGGAAACATTAAACGACATAGAAAAGCAAAAAACGTTATCAACCAACTAGAAGAGGAAAAAAGTCACAGCATCATTCAAGTAATCAAAATTATGCCATACAGAATTTGAAAAAGTAAAATGTCCAAGTGCATAGTAAGAAATCGATTGTATATTTTCCCTACCCGGCTAGTGGATTTCCGTACTACTACTAGATTTTCTTCAATATTTCGCCTTTCGACGACACGCAAAAAACTGAAATACGACTCTGCACTGCAGATTGAAATAGAATGAATTATAGCACGACAGAGATGACAGTGTTACTAGATCGATCATATTTCTGTAATATTTGTGAATTGTTTGTTGTGTAATTTGAGACGGGGCCTTCTTGAAAAGAGTTGGGGAGGAGTAGAAGCGGGGAGCTGAAATTTGTGTAGTTCAGGCGCCATGCTTGCGTGTGTGCTTGCATCGCTCCCACGACAAGAGTACATCACGCCGTGACGTATCTCGTCAAAGTCAAAATCCACGGCAGATGGACAAGGATCATGGTGCTTCTAGGAAAAATTCTACTGTTAATCATGCGATTCTGTACTGCTTCTGCTCAGCAGGCTGTGCAAAAACGCAATGTGAAACTCTGAAGACTATAAAGATCATCAAGTGAGGTCTCGTCAATTTTGTGGGTTGTATCATCTGTACAATGTCTTGAATAAGAATTGGTTTAGAATAAGAATTACATCGAAGGAAAGGAGTCAGAACATACTTATGCTGGAAAGATGTTGATTCCATCTCGAGGATGGTATTTTACCATGCAGTGTTCCAGAGGAAGCAAAAATTCATGTGTGCGTCATTGACAGAGAATGCTGTTTTTCTGGATATTCTCCCGACAACGTTCGTCCCAAGATCCGAGCTGTGGAAGTTTTGTTTTGTTGTCCAGACTTCTGGAGCCCTGGCCGCTGCCTCTCGCAAGCCAGAAATCTCTTAATCTTAATCTTCATTCATGATCAGGTGGTAGGAAACGATGGTTAGATTTGATACTACGCGCGCTGTTTATGTCGGTTCATTGTAGGTTTTGTAGCTTCTAAGACGACAAATAGATGGCGCACTGGAATCCGGGTATGCTGCCACAGTTCAACCTGACGCCTCTGCCGCCCAAGGGTGGAGGGAAGTTTGGTGGACAGCCACCTTTGCGGCCTTTCCCATCGCAATCCGGAGGCACGATGTTCATCAACACTGCGGTTCCGATGCCAGGCGGTCCTAAGATGAAGGGTGGCGGAAAAGGGAAGAAAGGAAAGCAAGAGCAAAACAACTTCTTCCAGCCGAACCACATGAAAGGAGGTGGAAACCAGCACGGAGGCGGCAAGGCTGGTGGAAAGAAGAAAGGCAAGCACGCACCATGGGACAGCTTAGGTGGGTCCATGTATGCGAAACAGTCTATGCTCGACGATCCGTGGCGAGACCTCTACGAGCGCGCTGGCGTAACCGTGGTCGACAACAAAAAGCAGAAGATGCTCGATGCTATCGCCTTAAACGGTAGTGGTGGTGGTGCGGAGTATGACGACATAGATATGGCGGAACAAGAACAGGACGACGAAAACGACAAGGATCTAGACGATCCTTCTAGCAATGCAAAAGGAATGGAGCAAGATTCAGACGACGAAATGATGAACGACGACTCTCCTGATCGACCGGACAAGCCCAAGAGGAGTTTCATCGCTAACCGAGAAGCCAGTCGCAACCGCAGCACTACCGGTGGAGGCGACCTGTCTCAAGGGATCTTCTCGAAAAGTTTTTCAAAAGCCAGTGGTGGCATGCGAAACCTCTTGAGTCAGTTACCGCCCCCATCAAAAGCAAAAAGTAGCATACTAGACCAGTTGCCAGCACCAAGTGCGAAAAAAGGAGTCTTGGATTTACCACCACCTTCTAGTGCCTCTTCTGGGTCGAGTTTGAAACGGTCGAAACTAGACTTGCCAGCACCAACGGGAGACTCTACTGCATCTAGCAGCGTTGGTGTTGAAAAGAAATCATTCGTGCTTCCAGAGCCGCAAGGAAGTAGAATTATAGGCACAGCAGCTAATGGAACACTTCTTGGTGGTAGTTCAGCTTCGTCAGGCGATGTGAAAAGTGAAAGTGACAACGAAGACGACGATGAGGATCTTCTAGCAGCGGCACAGCAGGTCGTAGGACCACAGCGCCCGCCACTAGGAATGTCGGCGGACATAGGACCTCAACGACCCCCATCAGCGGCAATAGTAGTTGGTGCGAAAACTGGAGGTTTTGCCGGCTCAGCGAGTACGAGTAGTAATGCGACAAAGACTGGAACTGGTTTTAGTTTTTTAGACTCATTAGCAGCCAGCGCAGATGCTGAAGACGACGTTGATGTGGGTCCAGTAGGTCAACCCAGTGCCGCTGGGCTCTTTGCACGCCTTCGTGCTGCTCGAAATCAAGAAGCGGCGCCGGCACCAGAAAAACCGAAATTCAAACTTCCACCTCCCACACAAACCCATAAAACCGCGCAACCCCCAATCCACCAACAAGATGAGGAAGAAGAAGGTGATGTTGATCTTGACTAGATTAGCTGCTTCTACCCGCAGCAATAGTAGGTTTTAACGCAACTACGCAATGAATTTAAACACGAGAGTCATGGCGACGCGCTATGTTTTTTTTAGTGGTCCGTCGTGTTCTCTAGCGTTGCGACGTGTCGTAAAGCCCTGCGGAAGAGAGAGAGAAAGAGAGACAGAGAGGAAACAAGTGTTTGCTGAAGAAATTTATTGGTTAACTTTTTTGAAAAATTCATGACTGTCACGTCAGGAGTAGCAGATTGATTTCAGAGACACGAGTCACTGACAGGGCTGTAATTGCGCTGCTGCTGCTGCTGCATTCGTGCACGCAAAATGTACCATCATGAAAAACGGCACAGGGAAGTGAGATTTTTCGAAAAGGTTTCAAACGACGTCCCGGTTTTTTTTAGTGTAAAATTTGTTTCGTGATAGGCGTACATTAAGAACGTCCATCTTTCTACATGCAGATCTTTAGTTGTTTATTCCCTATTCTAATCGCATCCACTCGTTCTTTAAACTCTGGTATAAAAACTGTACCTGTACTAGAATCTTAAATCACGTAATTGTAATTGTATTAAGTAGCAACAGCTTCCAAGAAAATGGCGGATGCTCTGAAAAAATCGACGATCACCTTGATCAGTGCGATCGAAAAGGAGGCGAGCAGTGTCGACGAGGCCTTCACTTACCTCTACAACGCCTTCTATGAGGAGACCTTCGACTTTGAAGAAGGTACTTCTAAAGCTATGCATTGGACTACTTCGCCAGTTATGCAATTTATGCGAAATCTGAAAGGAATTTGACCTGCAAATTTTTAGGAGTACGAAAAGAAATGAATGGCAATTACCTGGTCGATCTTTGACTTTTAGGTCAATACCTTGTCGACGACTTTCGCGCCAAGTGCGCAGAATGGGACGGAGACTCGGACAATTTCAAAAACGGTCTCTACGCTGCGCTGAAGGCTTTGCCTGATGAAGCTAAGAATCGAGATATCGAAAAAGCAGTGAATACTCTATTGGGTTTGGAGGAAGATGCGATCACCGAATTTGTCGAAGACGTCGTCGACGTGGCTTTTACGAGCTTTTTCGGGTAAGAAGAAAATATAGATTACACTCAACAAAAATGGCTGTTAAAAGATTTTGAAAAATGGTTATATGCTAAGACACATAATGAAGCGTTGTAATATTAGACAAAGTAGTACCACATAGTGATAGTCATCAACCATCAGTTCTTGAGTACTAGTAGCAAGTATGAAAAATGAAAGCATCGTTATAAATCAGGACAAGGTGTTGGTGTAAGTGTATACTTATACACAGTAATGCAGATGCACTCGTACACATTGTCATGATTGGTCTGTGATACTTTTTGACGGGAGATGGTATTGGATAGAAATAAATGTCGAGAAGGTTCAGTCCAATAGTTAACAGACAACGCGAAAAGAACAAGACATATGAGTACTAAGTAAAAATACAGTGTAACAGTAACTTTAACCAGCACAGTGTCGCATTGGAAAATAGAGTATGATCACACAAATTCCTCTGCCGCGATGGGTGTGAATCAAGAACGAACAGAGCAATCCGAACTGGTTTCGTACAGTTGAATGTCAGTGTTCCCTCGATCGTTCTCTCTAGAACTCTCTTGATAATTTGTTCATCGTTTATCTTCTGGCATTTTTAACGCAGCAAGAAGAAGAGCGTCAGAGAAGAATGCAGCTCTATCCTAGTTAAATCATCGGTTGGCTCTACTTTGTTTTTTCGTTCGCTTAAGGATGATACCAGGCACGACCAAGTCGTACAGGAGGATCTGCATCTGAATCCATAGGCTTTTTTTCAGTGGGAAGACGAGTAGAGCAGGTGTATGCGGATCAAGATATGTATCAGTTTTTTGATTTGGTGTAATATGGAAGTTGTCAGGAAGATCGGTTCATTACGCCTCTGTCCATGTATCAGTAACTAGCAGACCCTGACATGCTACGCATGTTTTTTGTGAGGAATTCGACAGAATGAGAGATACGTCCGACAATGCACCTTTCCCTCGTCATGTCCACCGATCAGATCCCCATGAATAAACTTGATATTCTCTCCAACATTATCCTAATTTGACAATAAAATAAATTCGTTGTATCACACTTACTTGTTTTATCACCTTGTCAAACACCAGGAAAACTTCATACTTGCTTTCCCTGACCACCCATACTTTTGAAAGAACTTCACATGTACTCATTTTTTATTGGTACTAAAAATATTGCAATTGGACTTTCTTGGGTTTGAGCAGAAACCATTTCGATTTTCTAGTGGCTTCATGTAAACTCATAGCATTGCTTCGGCTTCGTGAATTTTTTCAATTTCATGCGATCAACACCCTCATACCTGTCCATCCTTTCCATCAATTAAAATTACTAGTTTCCTTTTCGTCTTCAGGGTCAAGGGCCTCTGTTGATTCAGGAACACCTGTTGTAGAGGTCAGAGGGAAGAAGCTGACATAGTCTAAACGAATTTGAGGACGAATCATTTGACCTGTCAAATATCTAATCACGAAAGAGCAAGAGCTGATCCCTTTGTACGATCTAGAGAAGATCGTGCTCACGAACACCGGGGCTTTGTCAAAAACAAGCACTACACTAGAAAGTTTGTTCAGATAAAGAGCATCAGAACAAAAAAAGATCAACAGTAACATCACATTTGCGACTCCTATCATCTAGAACTGATTGACAAGTAAGCGCAGAGGAGCGATGCCTGTTCTTTGATGCATTCGTGATGTGGTTTCTTCAGTCGCGGTATTTCAAGCAACCGTCTTTAACCACTCCCGATCGACCCAGTACTAAGAACGCTAGCTCCACTCCAGCCTCCGGCAACAACTACCGCAAAAGAGACGTCGTCACAGGATCCCGCACTGCGCAAGGAGCCTCGTCTAGCACTTATGACTTTGAACAATTCTTGGTCCGTACTGCGATGTCGTGAAAACAAACGCACAAGCACAAACAAAGATAGGTCGTAGCAATAGTAGATCAGCCTAGAAGTAGATGAGTACGATATTCTGCTCGAATCAATTTTTTTGGCGCAGCCACCTCTTCTAATACCTGTCCCCGTCGAAACAGCCACGGAACGTTGGCGCTAAGTCCCCCAGTCGAACCCGTCTGCCGTCTGCGTCACCGCGTCGGTCACCGAGCGTAAACTCGCCAAAGAACCGTCGTGAGCTTCTCCAGAAGAGCCGTTCTGCCGCTGCCGTGACCATCAACGCTAACAACACGTCTGTACAGCAGTACAGTCTGGTTGGCGGCGCTCCCGCGGGTCGGAGAGAAGACAATTTGCAGAATCCTTCTGACGCCTACGCTCTGCAGCAACTGACACGTCCGGGAAGCAGCAGCGCATCGCCTTCGAAGCGCAACAAAGGTAATACGACGGCTTCATCTTCTGGTTCCGCAGCAGCAGCACCTTCAGGAGGCGCGGTGAGCACGTCGAATATCATCGTCACTGGTGGAGCGACTAGCAGCACTTCTAACATGATGATTCGAGGACCAACAGGAACATGGGCAGCGCCGTCGCTAAGTCGAGGCAAGCGCACGATCTCCAATGCGACGAGCGACAACACGTCCACTAAGGCCACGTCAAAAGAGAGCAATCAGAGCGATGGACTCTTGCAGCACATGGCGCAGCAAGCCGTGGCCCAGCAGGCCGCTCAGCAAGCCGCGCATTACCAGCAGCAGGAGCAAGTACACCTGCAGCCACAGGTGCCGCATCAGTCGCATCCGGGACTAATGGGCGCCGGCTCTTCTAGCACGGCAATGCAACAGCAGCAATTGCATCATCAGCAAATGCAGCAGCAACAGATGCAGGCGCAGATACAGCAACAACAGGTGCAAGCTCAGATACAGCAGCAACAAATGCAGGCGCAACTCCAACAGCAGCAGCAGCAGCTGGCCCATCAACAGCAAATGCAGCAGCAGAACGCTGCAGCAGCACAGCCGATGACTGGCGTTGTACAGGAAGGGGATGAGGAACAGGAGCTCCCCGATTTGGGAACCTCGCGGTTCGAGCTCCGCCAGTTTCTGGGATCCGGTGGTGAGGGCGTCGTCTACGAAGCGTACGACTTCGTCAATCAAGCTCCTTGTGCCCTCAAAGTCGGTAACAAGACCGCACAGCGCAACAAGGGCTTCGAAAAAGAGTACGCGATCTACTCGCACTGTGTCAAACACCGAGTGGAATCGATCCCACGCCTTTTCGACACGCGGATAGCAGCTCTCAGCCCGAATGGCCACCTCGTAGACCAGAATACCAAGCCGGACTACCTGGCTCTAGAACTCATGGGACCCAGCATCCGCATGATGCTCCAGGCAGTCTTGTCCCATCGGGCGCACCAGGCGGATCAGGGCATTCCGGTATTTCCACGATGTCTACTTCAATTTGTATTATCATTTATATCGATGTGGTACATTAACTTTAAGAGATCAGCTATGGACGTTAAGAATATTGTCGTGAGTAAAAATAATGCGTGCAGCACCACTCTACTTGCCGCATTTGGTTGCTAAAAACAGAAAACTCGGATCTCATTCTCAGGTGCCTCGCAGCAGTACTATGGAATTGCGCAGTATCTACGTTATCGCAGAAAAGATGCTCGAAACACTTGAGCAATTGCACCGAGTGAAGGTACTAGGATTTCTTGCCACAGCCTGAAGAATGTGAATATCGCTGTTGTCAGAACTCTAACTGGTTTTTGGTGCTTGTTGTATTTGATTGGAGTCTAGGAACAAGAAAGTAATTGTGTATTAATTTCAAATCCAAGATGACTACTCCATTTTCGTAGGTCCTCCATCACGACGTGAAGCCGCAGAACGTGGTCTTCCGAGACCGAAATCGTAGTTTGGAGACTGATGTGGTCACGGACAAGGACCAACTCGCTCTTATCGACTTGGGAATGTCGTATTTTGTCGCTGAGAACACCAAACCGAAACGTCATTGCCGATTCTGCGGTTCCATGGATTACTCGAGCAGAGCTAGCAGGTATGTTCCTCTTCTAGTAGGCTTAAGCTAGCGTGGTTGACAGGTGATCGTGCCGTTTCAGTGCCAGTGCCTCTTTGATGACTTCGCCAAACATGATCATGAAGATGAAGCTAAAAAAAGATTGATATAATGTTATGAAACACGACTGTGAATCATGTTATTTTCACCCTCTATGATTATGATCCTTAGGTACCGTTGCCAACCTAGTCGACGAGATGACTTGGAGTCTTTGGGATACCTCCTTCTCTGGCTCATTATGGGCAACCGAAGCTTCAAAGCTTGGCGTTCAGCTGTGTTGGAGCCCTATTGGGAGATGCTGTCCGTGCTGTTTGAGGATAGGGTAACAATGGTCTCAACATTTACTTACTGGAATAGTTACAAATACCATTTGATGTATCTATAACTGTATCCGATTCGTTTGATTCCTTGAAATTCATGCTTTCATCGATCAACTGAAACGCATCCCCCGTATATCAGCCTGATATCAGCGAGATCATGTCGAATCCGTCGCGTAACGGAGCGCCGTACTCAGCCGCCCTGGCTCGCACGAACGACGACACGAAAGTCTTTATTCGTAGGTCTGCTGTTCAAAACTGCAAGAAGCCGGACAAAAAGTGCGATCTCGGCCTCTTCTCGACGACGATGACCACCCGGCCAGACGATATCATCGAGGGAAACTTTCCGAAGCTCAATAGAGAAAAGGTATATTTTGCATGCTTCGCCATCTTCATCCACTATAATTACGGAACGCCATAAACGTGAATTGACATTTATGAAAGCTGCATGACGGGTCAATTCGATATCTAAAGGATCCCCAGAGAAAATTTTGTACTTCGTGCCAACTAATCAGGTCCCAGAGAAAATTCTGTACTTCGTGCTGTATTGCCAGACGCTAGGATTCGCAGAGATACCGAATTATGCTGGTATGAAGGCCCTCTTTCACCGACCGAGCCATACCGAAGGACAGGAATTGACGATTGCAGCATCCAATGCCGAGCCGGTTCCTGAATGGATCATGTCACGCATGGTGACACACTCGCTCGTGAAGGAAAGCCCGATGCCGCAGCATGTAGAATTCATTTCTTTGCCAAATAGAAATACAACCATGCACTTGTTGATCATCGGTTCATTTTGGAGAAAGTAACTCAGTGTAGATACAACTTCTTGGAAATTCTCCTGATTTTTTTAGTTTCGGTGTGCTGGTTCCTTGTCCAGGAATCAGGGTTCTCCAATTTGGTTATAGGTGGACGCTATAACCTGGAGACGGGAGGAAAGCCTGCATGAGGTGCTTATGGGCTTTCCCCTGACCTCACCTATCCCCATTCAAGGGGATACACTATCCTGATTGCGCCGCTTGTAAAACTGATATCTTTTAGCACTTAATCCCTCTCCCATCTTAATATTAATGCCTCACATAATTGACCTTGCATTTATTTAAGTGCCGTGTCTTTTTTTCTCCTCATCCAACAACACCTTTAGGGAATGAACACAACATAAAAATGTCCTCATGCAGTGCAAAAGCGGAAGGAAAAGAGCTCTGAGTTCTCTCAAGATGCAAAAGATCTTTTGTTTTTTGTTACTTAGAAAAAACGTTCCTTGAATTCTAAGGCTCTCTAGATAGATACGTGAGGTACTTATTCACATTTCACAATCAACCCCATAATTACAGGCTACTTCTTCTGCCTCGTCGAGTATGGCCGATGGAAGCAGCTTTCTGCGAGACAGTCCGTTCTCGTTGAGCAAGAGCTACCATCAGGCTAGCGTTGCGGTGCACCAGCAGCAGCTTAGCATGCACCTCAATCAGCAACAGCAGATGCAGTACAACAACAACATCAGTATGGGAACAAGCAACAATAATCTGTTGAACGGCGCGAGCAGCAACAATTTGTTGCCTACGGGAGGCAGCTTTCTGGGCGGCCAGCAATCTACCATGAGTGTTGCGCAATCCTGCCGACAGACCGGTGACGAGTGCCAGCTCACGACGACTCCGCAACGCAACCCGTACGTGAAATTCGTATCACCGTTGGATGACGAGACTTTCACTCTAGGCGATCCTCATTCAGGCATGAAGCCAAGCCGACTCATGACAGACGATACCCCGCAGCCGTTGGTATTTAATTTTTTTCTTGGGTTTACACACTTTCTCTTGTTACTTCTTTGTATGATTCTTTCATACACACCAACCATTTTCCAACAAAATATCGAAGATCATCTCGTTCACATTTTTCCAACCATTTCTATATTATAACCAGGTGAAGCAGCAAAACTTCATCCTTGGATCTTCGCCGGCAGCAAAGAAGACGTTTCTATCGACGCGCGCGTAGGAGACAAAACTAAGTAGGAATGTTTGAAAATGAAATCCGACACCACGCGTGGTGATTGGTGGAGGTGATTAATGCTAAACATATTCTTCTCATCGAGAAGCAGGCTTCAAACTTTCTTTTCATAATCAATGTGGGTCAATGTCATCGTCATGTTAAAAATTGTCGCATAGTCGTTCCCGTTCGGTCAAATAATGGATAGAATAAAATAAGTAGGGTAGTTGCTGGCATATGTAGAAAGTTGGGGCTTGCTTTCGGCTTGGAGAGCGGAGTGCATGTTCTGCTCCTGAGGCTCATGCTGTCACAAATTATGCTTGTCGAGAGCCTAGATGGCCGTTTGCGACAGGCATCACGGGATAAAGCGCATACGGAATGGTAAGCTCCTCAATTGGATGTGTCGATATTTTTTTCTTTTACTGAAATCTACAACTTGGTGTCTTGTATCTATCGAAGGAACAAAAGCTAGTATTGTTACTGTATTCTTATATATCTAGATGAATTAAAAATATCAACTGAACGAACATCATTCAAATTCAATTTACTACTATCATAGCATGGAAACAGGTCTATTTACACTTATATTTATTGTCCTTGAGGCAATCAGTTAACCATATTTGCATCTTTCAACATCAATCAATTCATTTATCCAGTATGTGTTATTTCCTAACATCAAGAAGAAAATGAAGAGTAGTACGTGAACCCGTCGCTAACAGTTTCTGTTCTTAAAGATAAAGGTTTCTCCGTAGTGACCAGAGGTGTGTACGTGACTAATAGGTACGTTGTTTGCATTTGAATAAAATGAAATGTACTTACTTACGACTATGATTTAGATTACTTGTAGTTAGGGTCTTATTTGTCTATCATCTTTGAATATCTATGTTTGGGTTTTTCGTGATTGTATCTTTGTACAGAAGAAGCTACAGACGTGAATAGGAGCAAGAAGTGGTGTTTTTTCGGGCCAACGGAGATGCATGTCACTGTCAGTTGTATTATCCGAGGCGAAACAAGAGACCTTCAAAATACGAAGGTCATTAGCAGTACCGAATTTCGTAGGAGAAGACCGAACTATTGTACAGAGGCATAGAACAACAACAACTTGAGGTGTTTGCAGGCAGCTCGAGATGGATGAACATGAAAGGACGGACCGGAAATAAATGGCATCAGTTCGTTATCACTCACCCAGACTCGTCTCAGAAAATTCTTGATTGTATCTATGTTGTTGATTTGATGGTGGTTAGCAGAAAATATAAGATTATTCAATTATTCTAAAAAATCGATCTGCATGTTTGCAAACGGCGCTTCGGCTTCGTTTGATTGTGGATGAAATAAAAATGACATAATCTCCGTACGTTCTTCTAATTATCGCACTAGTACTACATATAATCGCATATTAGTGAAATAGATTAAGATTATCATGACCAAACTCATCGGAGTTTATTGAGTTCAACATTCCTGTACAACAAAAAATATCATTATTTGGGAAATCTTCATCTGCATTGTTCTACGGAAACAGTTCTTTGGGCAACATATTACTCTGGTGGTAGTCAGAATGAAGCTGGTCAGTCACTACAACAAATAACAACATCGTATTAATCCCTGTACATAAAAACGTTTTGGAGCATGCATGGACTTGAATCCTGTACACTGTCAAATTGTGAGGCGCAATTTCCTTCAAGCATTCTTACGCCAATCAAAAGCTCAATTATGAGCCTGTCAGCGGTCATCGGCGCTTTGCCTGTGTGGTGCTCATTGGGCTTCGAAGTACGCTGTGTGGAAAAATCGTTTCCAGAGACAGACGACTGACCACGGTGGTACGCACTATGCTCTACAAGATATAAGCAGGATCATAGGAACGTAAACGGCCGAAAATTCTTCAGAATTCAAACACGACAGAGGATTTTAGATGATGCCCTTGTTCTTGAAAAGAAAATTCTGTTTATGAAGCTCAAAAGAAAATTCTGTTTCTAGTTTTAGCAGTTAGCAGGATACTTTAGGATACTTGTTGATAGTTACCCTTTTCTCTTTTATATCTTCCTCTGTCTGGTCTGTCTTTTTTCTAGTTAGGTCGGCTCCACCACAATTTATGAAGCTCAAAAAATTAATGTGATTAGAACACTATTTCGTTCTTGAATCGGTTCATGCTCGGTAAGCCATGAACATGATCCGCGTGACTGAAGAGTCACTACATATCGGAATATATAGTACGTACTCGATTGATCACGTAGTGAAAATGTAACATTTTGAATTCAAAATGGCGATCTCCGGCGCTGCACCCGCAGCCTCGTCTCCTGGTGCAGGATATGGGCCTCCCGTTGAGTTACCATCATCGAATGCGCAGAATTTCTTCGAGGAAGCGAAAGTTGGCCATACTGAGCAAGCAGAACTGAAGCGCAAATTTTTGAGGTATTGTTACGATCTTTTTTGTGTCGAGAAAGGGGTGTGCGTCCACCACTTCCTCCGTGACCCTAGCGCTGGCTTCATTCAAGACAGAGTTCACGTTTAGTTACTAGTCGAATCGCGAGTATACCCACTCAGGAGAGAGTACACCTTCCACCTCCTTTGAGGTTTTCGGAGCCGCGAGGGAAATGCAGCTTGCTGCAACAGAATGATTGCGCCAGAACTGGTGGAGCAGATGCCACAAGCACGAAGAAGCCTGAAGAACATGAGCAAGAGGAAGATGAGATGGTGTTGCGGCTTCACGGCTTTTGCCGTTTGTTGCAACATTACGAGGTTTGTCCGGCTCACCATTTCGAGGCGTATTTCCATGCTATGGATCGCACAAGAGATGACGTCATCGATTTTAAAGAATTCTTCCTCGGATGTTGTGCTGCAGACCCGCAGACGGTTCATATTCTCAACAGCTTCACAGGGTTCGAACGCTCGAAGTATATTTTCGACTTCTACGACACTAACCGGTATAATGTTTTCGTTACTTCTTATGTCAAGAATCAATGAGGAACAAGAAGTTGATTATAAAGGTTAGAGGCTAGCAGACCCAGACAGGCATGAGTCGCAGTCTTGTAGAGCACAGAGATTCGTTGTTGTACTGACAAGGACACCATCAGCAAATTTTCAGGTCAGGAAACTTGGAGTTTCTCGAATTTTCGAGACTACTGGGTGACACTGTCGCCGTCGCGGGGGGACGCGAGCAGACAAGAAAGCATGCGATCGAGAAGGGGCGCGAACTTAAATTGCTCAGAGAGGGCAATGGTCGTTTGGACTTCACGGCGGTGAAATTCAAGAACTTCTACGAATACATTCACAAGGAACAGCTACGCGGAACCAGTCGGCTATTTCGTTTTCATAAAGGCATTTTGAAACCAAGAAGGCGGTCGGAGCGCGTAGACGTCTGTGCGGAATTGCCGCCTCTGAATCTACCAGCAAAACTCCGCGATCTATCGCTTGCGAGCACCGCGCCGGGTTCTGACACCGCCACTGCTTCCAGCGGGGGCGCCCCCAGAATAGAAATAGACTCGCCTACTAGGCGGACCATCGAGATAGAGGCTATCCGAGAATACGAGGCTTGGGCGCCCCAGTTGTTGCAACTGGATGACGACATAGACGATATAATCGAAATCGAGAAAAAAGAAGGCCGCGACATATACTTCTTAGGGCAGAAGATTTCTGGAGATTCAAGGCCATCATCTTCCAGTTCGATGAGCATGCTGCTCGCGTCTAGTAACACGGGGAAAAAGAGCAAGATGCATACTTTGTCTTCTTCGAGCGCCTCCAAAGACGGGACTACATCTGCCGGCGAAACCACAACCACAGCATCATCAGCTTGTCCTACTACAGATGAAGAGTCACAACGCCGCGAGAATGGAGATCACGACGGCGCGACCAGTGGGCCGGTGGGTAATTTCAGGTGCGACAAAGACAATAGATTGAGAATGGCGCCGCCGTATCCTGCAGATGGAGTGCTGCCTGTAGGCTCTTTTCGGCCCTCCCGGCAGGACGCGCTACAGGCTACAGCCGCAGGGGGAGGCGCAGATAGCCGCGCCCAGCAGGTCGCTGCTCAGGTGGTTCGCAGCATCTTCCTCAAAAAAGCGAGACAAGAGCCCGGACTTCTTCACGCGACTTCTGGAGGCTCCGCAAGCGGTGACCTTTCAAATCAGAACTCGTCCGGTGGTGCTAGTGTTTCAACTAAACCGGTCGTGGACGCGCCTCCTGCCCTAACGACTTTTACAGTTCCTTTCTCTCTGGTCTCACCTGCGCAACTGGAGGAGTTGCTCAATGCTGTCAGTCGCATATTGCTAGCCGAGAGCGTTGTCGTGAAACCTGTGCACTCCCTGCCAACGAAGGTGTTCGGGAGCCTTCACGGACAGCTGGTCGATCTGCTTACTTTTTTCCAGAGTTTCGGGTTTCCACACTTGGGCCTTGAGTTGGGCGACCTAAGCTACACACATTACGTCTTCCTTGGCGACTACGTGGACCGTGGAGCGCAGAGTCTAGAGCTTCTCACTTTGTTATTCGCGTTGAAGTTGCAGGCACCAGAACGGGTCACGTTGCTGCGAGGACACCACGAAAACAGACACGTGAATGCACATCTGGGTTTTCGCCAGGAGTGCGAGGCTCGGTTGCCTCCTGGCGATGGGGCTCGGCTCTACGACGTGATCAACCGTGCATTTGAGTTGATGCCACTCGCATGTCAATTCCGGAGTGGCTTTCTCTGTTTGCCAAATGGGTTGCCAAGACTCCTTGACCATGAACTACGAGAACACAGAACTTCTGCTGCTGGTTTGCGAAGCTTGACGCATTTGGAATCTCTTATGGGGACAAAGCCTGTCATCGTCCCGCACCCACAAGCTCTGAACTCAGGCAACGGCTTGAGCGAAAGCGAATTATTTCTTGTCCGCTACTTCTATCCGCATTTATCCGAGGTGTCAGGCAGTAGTGAGAAGAGCGATCCCACCAAGGAATTTCTTCGAGACAGTGGACTCTGTGCGGTGATCACCAGCAGACGGATACCTGAAAGCGGTGTGGCGCTAGCTCCCCGTTCTATTAAAGCAGAAGATGGCAGGGAAATACAGACGGACCATTCATCTTCTGGAGGAGACAGGCAAGAAGAGAAGCAAGACTTCAGTCGTCTAAAAGAAATCAGCTTGGTGAGCTGTGCTGATGTCGGTGGACTGACGCGAAATCGAGCGGCTATGCTCCAAATAGTCTGCGAGAGCAAGAACACTCATCGAGTCCGTATAAGGCGCGTTGCCAGTGGCCCCTCGTCAGCCGCATGGCGGCTTTTTGTAGAGCTATGCTGCGGCGGATCTGCTGCTCTAGGTGTCAGCGAAAATGCTGAAGGGGAGGAGAAGAATGGAGTGAGTAGAACAGCAACTTCGCACAAGGATAAGGAAATGCGACACCTTGTGTGCGCAGTCCCGGATTAAGGTCAGCTTTTATCCATCTGTCTCGGCATCTTGGTACCCTTTTCCCTTGTATTCTCATGAAATACAAGGTACAAGGGGTCAAGATGAGGGGGCCGAGATGCAATCTAGCAGACTCTAACCGGAGACCTGTGCTCGGTTCTCTCGGTGGCCAGCGCAGCCCATGGCGCTGACTCCTCGTCGCGTAGTGGTGCCAATGTCTGCCGAGCATCAGCACAAAACCAGGGCATATTCTTCTTCAGAAGACAAATTGTGTGTAGAGTTGCTCTATCCGATAGATGGTTCTGCACCATTCACTAGACCAGACGAGCAGAAGTCTGCTGTTGTGATGGCTCTAGATACGGCGGACCGGGTGGATATTGCCAGTCTGAATCCCCTACTTTTGCCGACGCCAAGTGCTGGAAGTAGTGCTACACGCACAACTTGTGCTGTTTCTAGTGGACCTACCGAAAGGACTGCTTCAGAGCAAACGACTGCGGGAGGATCTTCGGGAGTTAATAGTAAATCCACCGCCAGTGCAAGAAGTTCGTCGAGAGCAGCCGGCGCAACAGGAGAGGCAGCACAGCAGCAACACGCGCGCCGAATCTCTGCACCAACAGCGGCAAACCAAGTCGCATCTCCAGGATTGCAGCGAACGAATAGCACTGGAATGTCACGAGGAGCAGGCGCTGGCGTAGGTTCGTTTCAACCAAGGCCACGGGTCTCAGGCGCAGGGGCCACCAGTACAGTTGGCACTACTACAAATAACGCCAGCAGTGGTAGTGTAGTGCAAGGCGGTCAACAGCTGCGCGAACATGCTCTACAGCAGTTGGCAAAGATCACGAAGGAAGCGCGGTCTTGTCGCGGCGTCCGCAGCAGCGAACTGCGGGAACGGAAGCAAAGACTGGCGCCGATCCTGTGGCATGCGTGGCTCCAGGCTAGTCTCAATGCGTTGCAGTGGGAGAAGGCGCTCTCAATGTTTGACTCGCTTGCCTCGCACCACGGCGGATCCTCCCTATCTGTGAGTGAGCACGCAGTGGCTCACTGGCTCACTCAGAAGACACAACGAAACACGTCGTTGGGTGCGACGGCCGCCGCGCGATCGGGAACGCTAGCGCGTTGGGTCCGAGGATTTCTCGTATTCCACAATAGCACAGAAAGAGCAAGTAATTCGCAGATCACTGCAGCCGACTTCTTGTGGGGCATAGTCGCGGGCAGCGGCTCCGTCTCCCTGAGCCAGGGCCTAGCGGAGCGGTTTAGCAACTACGCAGTGGTCGCGCGTGCGGCAGTCGTACTCCAACTCTGCACCGATGAGGGTGCAAGAGACTGGGACGATGTCGGCGGACTTTTACAACATAGCGCGAGTAGCGGGAGCAGAAGGGCAGATGCTCTTGATGCAATATTTCGCTTCTCGGCTTTCATTTAGACTTAGAGAAAGCCAGACTTTTTTCCGTATAAAATATTTTTTCCTTTTTCCGTTATAACAATATATTTATAAGTAGTACTCAAACTACTCAAGATTCGTCACTCTGAACCTGAAGATTCTGTGAAATAAGAATGTGCCACAGGAGGTCCTCTTCATTTTCCGTGGGGTCTGAAGATTCATCTATTTTCATTTACGATTGACTACAAAACAAAATGTATCATTTTTGCCCACAAGTCAAGACGCACTTGTTGTGGATGCATGTGGGTGCACAGCATGGCGGCCATCCTGTAAGGCGTTGCGTGACAGTGTCACGCCTGTTCTCAAGAATTATGGTCGTTATGCAACCGAAAGCGTGGCCGCTTCTGCCGTAAAATTCTCTGCAAAATGCAAGTAGGATAGGTCGTCGAATATTCAAAACGAAAAGCGTTCCCAAAACGAACTGCTACAACGAAAAGCATGCCACACAAACACGGAGACGTGCCTATTTGAAAGTTGGTGACGAGATGAGTATCAATCTGAATTGCGGACAGTATTTTGATAATCTAGGAACAAGCAAAAAGACAAACACAGACAAGGTCCAACGAGGAATATTAGATCCATCGAGAAGTGCCGACGTAAAATCTACCCTAGTTCTGCTAGTTCTCGTTTTTCTGAGCATACGGGAGACTCAACAGAATAGCAGCTTGGTTTCGCGATCCACCGTAAACTCGTATCTTTTTTGCCGAAAAAGTGGATATTAACCTCCGAAAAAGTGGATGCTAACCGAGAACAGAGGGCGTCTCAACGTCGAGAGACTTTCGCAGAGCATCACGACTAGGTCGAGAAAGCAATAGGAAGCATGTCGCTCAAATCAGGGACACTTCCAAAGGCGCCCTTCGAGAAGAAGCCGAAGAATCATGGGCTAAAGTATTGTGACTGTTGAATCTAATGATCCATCGTATGAATTATATGCAAGGACCTACCTGAGACTTACTGCGTGTTGCTGTGACTACAGTAGTCTTGTTTCTAGAGGAACCGATCGATGATGATCTGACTACCTTTTATCCGGCCAAAAAAACAGGTATTCGTACGTGCCACATGCGACTGATACTGGCAGCTCATTGAGCAAAGTGGCGCAAAAGGATAGTGACAGAGTCGTGGTGCGAAGGAGAGACGAACTCTTCAAGCGAGTGAAGATACAAACACTAGCACAGCATGTCAGGGACCACTACCTCGACCGAGAAAGTACGGAGAGCGTCTATGCACTAGGTGGAGCGACGCCGGGCGCAGCAATAAGCCCAAACTCAGTCGTCGTGGATTCGGAGACACAGGTATGATATCTTCAGTGCTAGGACTTGCTAAACTCTAGGTATTAGGATGTTGAACCACCTCACATCCACATGGTCGTTTTGGTAAACGAGAAAGAACTTCTGTAATTCAACCCACCGTAATCTAAGAACTATTGACAAGAATATAATTTTGAGGGAGCAAGACTTCAAACGCACCTTTCTATCAGGTAAAGCCAGACACACTTTTAATTCTTGACGTGCGAGACGAGTCCGAGTACGAAAAGTGCCATCTATCGCATGCAAGAAGTTATCCGAGACAAATGCTCGCACATGACAAAATATCAGCGGAGCTCTACGGGTTCAAGAGTACGACTGCAACAGCGTCTAGTCAGAAAAAGCTCGTCATCTACGACACAGACGACAAAGCGACAGCGAAAATCGCAACAACGATGGTCGAAAAAGGATTCGCAAACGTTTATGCGCTTAGTGGCGGCTTTGAGGAGGTAGTAAAAGCTAAAAATTATAGATTGTACTGAAGATTTCTTTGAGGGCATGGCGAGCAATAGGGAGAATCAAAAATCTCTTTTATAAGCGTAAAGATCGAATTCAAATCCGTCTTATTGATTCAAACCTTTTATAGGTCGTCGATTCGCTACCCGACATGCTACTGGGTCAGCTTCCTCCACGGGCATTGGCAGCTAGTAGGCCTGGGAGTAGCTGTAGCCGGCTCTCTACCGTCAGTCGATTTACGCAAATGTCGACACGAAGATGAGTTCGCCTCCCGCTGCGGGCTTACATACTTAGTTATCATGAACAAGGAAAGAGAGAAAATGGAAAATCATAAGTAGGCGCTTCTTTAATTAATGAATTGCTGAATTTTATCTATCAGTACCTCCGACATATTTACGGCCAAGAGAAGGTTGCCTTTCCCAACATAATTCAGGAAATTGCGCATAAAAAAAAACTCAATTGCATGTTGCAGTTGACAGTGTATCTTTTGTGTTTCAAAAGGGCCAGGCCAAGACTCATTACGGGTGAAGAAGGACGGAGACGAAAAGCGCAAGCATGTTTCGTCACGCGTTTGTTTGTATTCTGGTAAGTTAAACACTTCGTTTGACCATTACCAGAAGGAAGTCGAGAACGCAGATTCTTGTGTCTACCGTTTCTGAAAACGTAGCTCGACAAGGCCAGGACGAAAAATTGATAACAGCAAAAAAACATGACCTCTATTCGCCACCAGAAGTTTTGCTCATAGTAGTGAGAAAGTTGCGCGTGCTTGTGCGTGATTAGTTTACTTCTATTTCATCTGGTTCATCTGAACAAATAAGACTCGAACTGAATGAATTAGAGTTCGGGTTCGCACACGAGTAGCAGTAAGTTGCTACCATGTAGTCCTTGATAATCGTCTAGTCAAGAATTCACTCGTGGCAGCTACTTATTGTCTTGAGATGGACTTGATGAAGAAAGACGGGGCGGGGGCTTCGCCAGCCCTGTCACCAACTGCGAAGTCCGCGCTTCCGCCGCTCCCAGGTGAGTCAGCGACTTACAGTAGCATGTCGGATCTCGCAATGCATATGAGTTCGACGCCTGAGATTGGAGGTGCAGGTGCTGCAGAGGGAGCGTCCACTTCTGTATCTCCTGGTGGCAGTGATCGGGCAAGCAGTAGTACAGATATAGGTAGAAAGGATAAGGACATGATCAAGAATAAAGATGCTGGTCCTCGTTCTTCAAACCTCACCGGACAGCGGAGCTACGTGCAGGCAGTTGGTTGCAGTCCGGTCGAAGAGGAGGTGGACACCAGTAGCGGTGGAAAGCCATGGGAGTCACTGGAATTACGCGATGAGGAAGACGAACCACTACTACAAGAGGGCGCAATACCGATACCGTCTGCACCGCTGAAAGCGAGCTTTGCTTCTGGATCTGCGTCCATGAGTATGAATGGAGGGGCAGCCACGTCTTCGCCTAGTAGGCCGCCGCTTCGCCCGCCACTTGCTTCTTCGACCTCAAGCTCTACTTCACTGGGAAGTCCGAAGAGGCCTCTTTCTGGTGCCCCTGCGAGAGCTGCGCGGCTTGTGGGGCATGCAAGTCCGACCTTCGGTCTCGAGAGTATCGCGTCCTCGAGTGGGATAGCTTGCAGCTACGACAGAGCAAGTCTCTTGCATCAGGCCGTGAGCTATCAAGAAACGGCGGATCAGGGGCCTCGCGACTCGCCGCTAGGCGTTCCGGCACGGTCATCTGTGGTGACGACTAACAACTTATCGTCTCGCAAAACTTCAACTCCGAAAGTTCTTCCTGAAGCAAGAAGCGCTGGCGTTGCTGTTCCTGCAGCTTTGACTATCAAGCCAGGAGCATCGAAGGACCCTTCGAATGATCGTTCGTCTAGTGCAGCACGTGAGCGAAGTCAGTCGTCGCCAGGCAAAAAGGTGTCAAAGGGTAGTGGATCGCCACCGCGAATAGCTGGCCCGTCTCTGACCCCACCAGCGAACTCTTCGGGATTGCGGGGTCGCGCGCAAGCTCTCACACCGCCTTCTTTTGTCTCAGAGGCTGCCAGCAACATGCATAAGGACCACCTCCTAACACAGCTGCAATCCCAGCATGGGCAGGATTTTTTGATGCCCAGGTCACCTCCGATAGTGTTTATGAATGACGAAGGACCAGATGACGAGCAGGACTCCAAATCGTCAGCCATACTGGACGCGGCGGATCTAAGCAGTCTGTTGGACGACCACCACGACGATATGGAGCAGAGAGAAATGCCCTTGCGCTACCGTCGCAACAGTAGTCAGTCGAGCTCGCCTAAACGAGGGCCGAGAAATCGCACGACGAGCGGTGGTGGCGGGAGTGGCAGTGAGCGCGAACGTGGTGCTGGAGCGAGGCAGTACAGCCAGTTCAGTAGTACAACTCCACCTATGGGAGGTAGCAATTTTGACCGAGACGATTTTGCGACATATACTTCTGAAGCCAGTAATCGGCCCTCTAGTCGTGGCCATGCAGCTACGAAGACGCTGCCATCTGATAAAATGCGGACATTTTTGCAAGACCGGAATATCGAAGTTGTACAGCGGCCGAGGCCCTCAGCGGGTAGCATTCGCAGACATCCAGACGTTCCTCCCAACATTGCGGGACCTCAAGGTATGAGATCAGGTTGTAGTCACACCACGTCAGGAACTGCAAAAGTAGCTCTTGATGCGTGAGGACAATGCCTAGTTTATCATCGCATATTGATTTCACGTTCCTCTATGTTTGTCCAGCACCCTCGCCCTTCCTTTCATTTGCCGAATACCTGCGCCGCCACTTGGAGCGACGATGAGCGCGAGTGCGTCGCTCAAAGTTGACGCATTGCAGGCAGAACATGCTAAGAAAGTTGACGAGTTGAATGAGCAGTTAACGAAAGCGGAACGCGCTTTGCACCGACGTGACGCCCGGTTCAGTGAGAGTCGGGACACGGCCGTAGCTTTGCGACGACAAAACGCGAGACTAGAAAAGGAACTCTCGACGCAAAAAGCAATGGTCGAAAAGCTTCGCGGCGGACACAAAGACGTCGGAGGCGATTTAGATGCAGCCAAACAACAGATTCGGAAGTTGGAAAACCAAATCTTCCAGATGGCGCAAACATCAAGGTACTTGAGGTTGATGTTGTTCTTTTCTAAGTTAGCAAGATCATCTTGTTCTTCGATTCATCTTTCCTTGTTTGAAGACAATTTTACGTCAGGTTGAAGCATTTTCCATTTCCTTTTCGGCTTCGAAGAAACACCCGTTGATTGTATCGAAACACTCCTTGACTGCATCAATCTCTTCTTTCCTTTCAGCCATCTGCTGAAGATTGAGAAGCTGCAAAAGGAGTTGGAGTTGGCTCAGAAGCACGAGAAGGAGGCAGAGCATGAAAGCGAACGATTGGGAGAAGAAAATCAGAAAGCCTCAAAGGAATTGTCGATCCTTTCTAGAGCGCTCGCAGTACATGCCGATGAGGTTGGAGTGGAAGCACGCTTGCTGTATGATTACGGTCGCGCCCGCGAAGAAGTCGAATCGCTCAAAGTCGAGCTCGCGAAGGTCAAAAGCGACTTGGGCGCGGTTCGGGATGAACGAGATCATATGGCTGCACAGATGGAGAAAAGTATCTTATCTCTACCATGACGATGGATCATATACAATTACGTAATCAGGGAAACTATCGCTGTGGTCGACGCCCTTGCTAGTTAGTTACTAGCTGCTGTGAACACAAATTACTGCTCTACTTTCAGTAATTGGATCTAGACTTTCGTATTCCTCCATTCTCAGCCCGTCGTAGTCTCTCTAGGGAGCTGGAAGAGCGTCAGAAGCACCAGGAGCGTGCCGGAAAGCACGAAGCGAATAGCGAGTCACTTTCAGAGCTGATGCAGAATGTACAAGCACAGAAGCTAGAACTCGAGAAAAAGTTTAACGCCGCATCCCAGGAACTGACGGAAACAAAACGGGAGTTGATGGAAGCGAAAGGTAGTCCACTACAACATTTTTTGGGCGCCTCGCTCTTGGTTCGAAGGAGAAGAATGAGAGTCTCAATGATTCGTTTGTGTTTTAGTGATTGAAATATGGCCTCGGTACTAGGGTTCTATGGTGAAGACTTCACCTCCCAATGGAATTCGTGATCAGGCACGCATGGTCGCCTCTCTGCGCTCGCGGTCGATCACGAGTTGAAAGCAAAGAGCGCGCAGCTCGAAGCTGAGAGCCGTGTACAGGCGCACTTGGATCGCGTTCAAGAGGTGACGAGTCACGCCGATGCGATTCAAGCGCAACTCAACGCCGAACGAACAACCATTTCAGAGGAGCGCCAGCGCCGAACAGCAGCTGAAGCTAAAAACATTGAGTTGGAGGACGAAATGAAGTTTCTCAAACGGAAGTACGAGGCGATCGACAAAATTCAAATTGAGCTGGACGAAGAACACAGATTATGAAGGGATGTAAGGAACACGAAGTAGAAGATTTAGATCAGTAATGATGAAGACTTTGGGTGAAGATGTAGAGACTCACAGTTTAGTTTAACAGTGCAGCAAAAGAAATGCTTCTCGTTGATGAAAGAAACTACTTAGATTAAGTTTCAGTTAGAAAGCTGTTTGAATAAGCACTATGTATAATAATTGTCCCTAGAGGACCTAGTGGCCCTACGTAGTCAGCACGTTAATTAGTTGCGTCTTTAGATACTCCAGATTGAGCAAGTATGAATATCGTTCAAGATGAACTGAATGTGTGCTACATGATATGATAGCCTGTAGTCTGCCTTCAAAACTTTGTTCCGTGTTCGCCCTTGTTGTAGCACCACCAGCACGCTTCAAACCGTGTGAAAGAAGAGCGACTAGCCCAGTTAGAGGAGGACGTGGCGGCTCTCACAGGCGAGCGGGACAACCTAGAGCGCCATTGTGCTGGACTTCGAGACGAGCTTGAACACCAGAAGAGGTCGCGAGTCGAAATGCAGGCTCAATTCGAGACGCAGGAACGGAATGTCCGCACGCTGGTAGACGAAAAGTCGCAGCAATCCCGTGAAATCGCGGAGCTCGTGCGCAGGCTGCGCGAAAGCACACAGGAGCGCTTCCGGTGTGACGAGGTATTTTATTTCTTGTTGAGGAAGTGGTTCTTGGCTAACTAGTTAAACTAGTTAGCGAGAACGAGAAGTCCGCCGTCCTCGCGACCTCCAGAAACAATTCTGATTCAGGTACTGGATAAGCAGACCCGACAAATTGAGAAGCTGAAGCGCAATCGGTCTTACCTAGAGGATCGCATAGCAGCGCAATTTTTTCGCAAAGATACGGACTACCGTGGAGACATTGCGCATGAAGTTTCGTATCGCGAAGCTTCCTCTTCGCGGTCTCCCGCTCGTGAGAAGCAAAAAAGAAGTGCGAGCTTTGGCGCCACAAGCTTTGTCGGCATAACATCGCCTGACCAAGTGGTGAACCCCGTGGCAGTCACCACTGCAAGCGGCGCTACATTAAGGTTATTTTCCAGATTTTAGAAGAAAAAGAAAGATCACGGCACTCCACGAGTCCGGCTTCTCTTCCTTGAGTCCACAAAGACGAGCAACAAGTCAGAGATGGTACTGCTGTAACCCACAACAAGTGAATTCGATCCACGAATTTCGTTAGATAAGATAGCCTTGTAAGGGAATATATGAAATATGTTCTAACTCCATTCTCTTCTGTCGCACCGAAATTGTTTTACAAGCCGTCAGGAGGGCGACTGGCATCTCCAGCGAGATCATCGCCGCCTGCGCGGCGGAGTCAGTCGCTGGGCCGCAGCGGCTCGACCGTTCCCTCATCAGGGCAGAAGTCACCTGGGTCTCCGTCAACGCGAGGCATCATGGGTGGCAAGGGCGCTGGAGTGCGTCACGTCGCCTCGCCTGCGTCGGTACGTGGTTCGTCGCGCTCACCCAGTGTGTCTATCAAGTCTCCGATGTGGGTCCCGTTGCCACCGGACGCAACCCGAGGAGAACGGCCCACATTTGTTAAGATTGGTTTGCTGCCTGGTGTAGGTGTGCTTCCTACTTATTCGTGTCAGTGTGCTGTATTAAAGCGTACTACTAGAGACACTACTATCCTAGGCCTGAGAAAAAAATGCACGAGCACGGGGAACGTCGAGCAGCAACATGACCTAGACACCAGTCTTACTTGATAAAGTAGAACCACAACTTCTAATGTTAGCATGGACACCTCCGCAGGATCAACATCTGCGTCACGCGGTCGGTCCGCGAGCGCGGAGTTTACGGGTCGCTCGCTGACTCCAGGGCGCACGAATCGCGTGGAGGTAGAGGGGAAAAGACCGACAAAAAGCTCGCTCAAACGTGAGGCGATGAAGGCGATGATGCGGCAAATGGAGCTGAAAAAGATGGGATCCCTCACCACGGAGGACATCAAGAAGGAAAATCAACGACTGCGAGCGATGCTCTCAGGAGGAAGCAAGAACTCTGTTATTGAGTGACGGTGACGACCAACACGTTTATCAATTCGACGTAAGTACATTAATGATTTCGTTTTCTTGAATACTTAGGACCTGAAAGGGGCTTGGGCGATGTTTTGCGCGCTGGCGCTCGCTTTTATTTACAACTCTATGACAATCGTAGGCAAAGGACTCGATTATTTACGGGAACAAAGGGGGCAGCTCTTGTCTTGTTCTTGTTTTTCTCTACAAGTCGTATGGCAAAATGGGTAACTTCAACTTTCACTTTGTTGGTACGTGACTTTGGCTGCTGTTGTGCTTACACGATTCTTCAATTTCTTCGCAAAAGAAAGACAAAGAACAATAGAACAGCGGCAGCTGATCCACAAGCATAGTCTTTCTGATCATTTCACAAACAGAATATAGATGAAGGTGTGTCGGAATTCTTGCTCGGAAGAAAACGAGGCGGGACTAGTCTCCTGCAGTCCTGACTGTGTTCACCTTTGACTCTCGGAGTAGTTGAGGCGCACTTCAGTGACACGAGCTATGTGAGCGCGAGAGCGTTACGCGAAAAAACATACCATAGCAGCAGCTGCCAGGTCGTCTAAATATTGTAGTTTCGATCAAGCGTTCGATCCACTGTACGTCAAGACATTGTTTAAGATTTCCGAGACTATAGCCAAGAATTTTGAAAAAGGATGTCGTCTGTTATAGGGAAGTTCCGCATGTTCGTGCCTGCAGCGACTGCAAAGCCGAGTCCTGCGATTGGCCAAGCATTGGGACCTCTGGGAATCAACATGATGAACTTCACCAAGGACTTCAACACGCGCACATCTTATGGCTGGTTTGTGTGCAAGTGCACTGTGCACACTGACACTCCTCGGAGGTGAATCAGGTGCCCGGGCGGGCTCACTGCGCAGGATCCATAACCTAACCGAACCACACTCCTTCAATCAATTCTTTGGACGAAAGAAAACCTGAACAAGTTAAGTAGAGCTATCCATGCTCTTGTTTTTCATAATATCATGCTATGAAACTATGTGTCAAGAAGAGGCTTGTTGCACAGCTAGTGCTTGCTGTCGCTAGTTTCCCTTGTTTTCTGGCGTTGACTCTAAAAACTCAGAGTTCGACCCGAGGTGCCCCTTCAAGTGACCCTGTTTCCGAAGACGGATAAGAGTTTTCGCTACCTGATTCGGTCACCGAGCACCAAGTGGTTTCTACACCGCGTCGCTAGGTTACCGATGGCCGCACCAGTTGGCTTCGGAAATATCACGCTAAAAGAGCTCTATCATATCGCAGAAGCTAAGTCACAGGACCCGCAGTGGATTGGAGTACCACTGCGGACGATCTGCTTAGCCGTTCTAGGAACGTGCAAAGGCATGGGCATCCGTGTAACGCGAGAACGACTGCAAGAGTTCAGCAAGCGCGATGAAGTCCGAGTTTGGGACCTGGAGAAACTGAGAAAAGAGCTCCGCACACGAAAGAAAAACAAGGCCAGAGGCGCGGCAAAAAAGAAGTAAACAAAAACATAAGTAGTAGTAAGGCTGGAGGTTCATCATTTTGGTTCCCCGGTGGGACGAATGTAAAGATGCGCTTGCGGTTCGTACTATGGCGAAGTCTCTACATGATTCGCGGCAAATGCGACGAGAAGAGGATCGTTTGTTCTGCGGAAGCTATTGTCTCTTCTGTACTGTGAGGCCAGCATGTACATTAAGTACTGAATCATTGCAGCAGGAGAGCTAATTTCAATTTCTCTCTGCCTTGTCAGTCTCAATTTCGGTGTAGTATCAGACAATGTGGTCATATACTCTGTTTTTCTGTGGCGGTTTCTGATGCTCGTACCAAAAGAATCAAAAAAGCACTGTCTGAAAGTATGTGTCCATCAGCGATGCCGATGTTGCTCTCGGTTTGTCTGCTGCAACTCTCCCTTGTCTGTCCGTCTGTAGGGAAACTTACAACAAGCAAAAGTGTGCCCACTTGTAACGCGGGCGAAAATACCCTGCTGCAGGTCTACTTTCAGTTTCTGTTTTTCCTTTACCCACTCATTTTTCCTTAGGTTTTTACTCTCCTTATTGTCGTCTTTTTTTCGCAGAAAACACAAGCGTGGGTGTGATACTGAGTAAAGTAAAAAAGACTAAGACAAAGCATACGTAGAACCCACAACATGGGTTTTTTTTTGGACCGTCGGAAAGTTGATATAATCCATCGATCTCGATCTCAAAGTATAAGAGATAAGTAGTTGTGCATGACGCAGAAGTGTCCATTAGTTTCAATTTTTACCACATCCTGAGGATCTTCAACTTATTTGCAACAGGTTCATTGTCGTTCATTTCCATAGCATACTTGGTAGAAGCAAAAGCTTAAAATTAATCGGCTTTCTTGGCAATGTCTTCGCCGTTTTTATCTCGTTCGCCGCACAGCGGTCAAAAGAAGGGTGCCTACCCGATGCGAAGTGGTGGTAAGGTAAACTTACCATTCTTGCCTCAGCGCCAGCGTTCGATAACCAATCTCTTGACGAACAAGAAAGATACTGTGGTGCGCGGTTCGCCTGTTTTCGACAGCGGCGATGAGTGGAGGAATGGACGAGTATTTGTTTTACAAGAGTACCTGCACTGCGAATGTTTTTGTCATACAAGTACAACTGCAGGTGCTATTATTAATATACCAGCAGGTGTGGGGACTGCCACTGCGAGGACTACTTTCTGAAAGTCATTCTCACTACTACTACTATTACTTGTACGTGTAGTTCAATTTACTACCAGAAAACAACAGGTCTACAAACAGAACAACGAGAACCCTCCGAATCTGCTGCAAGGGTCTCCCGTCAATCATCGCGAGCAGTGCGCTGGGACTGTGACTCCTGCGTCGGAAAAGGCCAGAAGTCCTGTCGGCCTTGTCAGTTCCATCTTAGCTGGTAGTAGTCCCGCTGTGCAGGATGTCTTGCTTCACACTCCCACACGTGCACAGCCCCAAAGTCCTAGCCTTTTCTCGCCTCCGAAGCAGAACGGAGGTTCATGCAATTATGGCGCGTAGTCTCATAGATAATAACGTTTCGCGAGTAAGTAGTTTATTTTCATTCATGTACTTAGTAGATTGAAATTTTAAACTTAATAGAGTATCTTGACAACGAAGTCGATCATTCAAATTGGAGAACAAGACGTCTGAACAACAGTTGCTAATTCCCTTCGGCATCTTCACCGGGCTTGCCTTCGTGCGGTGGCGGAGAAGCAGAGCAACCTATGATTTTTGAAGACGACGCTGCTCCAGCTTTGCATCCTAGGTATAAGTGGAAGTTGCGATCGCCCATGAGTTGGCGTTCGAGTCCAGGTCGAGGACAGGGAAGCCCGACGCGAGGTGGCGGCGTCAGTCCTGCAAGATCTGTCGCGGGATTAAGTCCGACCCGCGCGGTGCCACTCGCAAGTGCTCAAATAGGAGGGCTCGCAGCGTCTTCCCCCGTCGTTGGGACAGTGAGGAGTGTCGCTGGCAGCATGTCGACACCGACTCTGCCTGCTTCGGGCGTATCGGGTGTAGGTATGGTCGCAGGTGGTTGTGCACCAAATGGTGCTGGTGGTGGTGCTAACACCTCGACGATGGGAGTGACGCACAATGCTTGTTCGACAGGTCGTAGCGATGCAGGAGCACAGTCGACAAATCCGCAACATCGTGTCCCGGGCTTAGGCGGAAGTGCTACTAGTAATACCCATCAAAGCACTACTAGCAATTATACCCATGTGGGGACTACGACTACGTCCTCTGGGCTCCAGAAAAAATGTTCTGTGGACAGTCTGTGTCGGAAGTTGCAATTTGAAGCCGGGAACGACGGCGATGTGGTCGGCAGCTTGCACTACTTGTCGACCAGTGCCTCGACTGGATCAGATGCAGGAGCCACGCCGATGACGACCCAATCAAATTCTACCGTTAGTAGAGATGCGCATCCAGTACTAGCTTCATCTCCCAATTTTAGCGGTTTTGATCAAATACAACAAAAAGCAACTGGTCCAGCTTCAGGAAACTGCGAGATGAACCGACCGCGAACCTTGCAGGCAGCACCTGGAAGTCCCTGTTTGCTTGAGTTCGATTCGCCTCCGATGCGTGAGCGTCCGAAAGACTACGTCTCCTCGCCTGACAGGTTGCGACAAGCATGCGCAAAAGCATCTCGGATTACTTCCAGCATTTCCGCGCCGAAGGTTGTTTGTGTCGCGCGCGTTCCTGGCGCAGTGGCACAGCTGGCTAGCGAATTCAAAGACCTGGTCTCGGAAGATCAGATGACTGAAGTAGACGCGGCATCAAAGTCTCGGGTTCTCGGTGATGCAGATGCAAACAAGCAGGTTCGCGTTCCGGACCTCGACTGTGGTTCACCTTCGCCTAAAAAGACGAGTGTCAGGCCTCTACCTCAATCTGGCGCGCATGGAAACAGCGAAGAGATGAAACGGGAGGAAAAAAGTGACCCTTCGTCCCATGGCAAACAAGATGCGGGCTCTGCGTCACAGACTCTTCAGGAAAACGGTGACCATCACGAACAAACTCGAGAAACTTCAACCGCGAATACAGCAACTAAAAGTAAAAACGTTGGCTCATGCGAAGGCGAGATCGAAAATGCCAGAAGTAACACGAGTTTTCGCGTCGTTCGGAATCCTTTTGAAGACTCTGTAGTAGCGGAGGGTGTAACTACGGGCGACAAAGGTAAGCCGTCTGCCTGTCAGCATAAGCGAAATCGAAGTCGCTGTACCCCACCTACTCCGGTTGAGCAAGACGCTGACGGGCAGAAGGAGAAACAGAGTCGGGAACGGAGTAGGAACGGCACGACCAGCAGACGTAGTGGGGCGTCTGCAGCTGCGGCTTGGAGCAGTAATGGCAATCTAGTCGCAGGAACTGGGGCCGCAGCGCCTGCTGACAAGAAATACCAACAGAAAACGGCTATTCTGGGAAAAACGAGCAAGATGGGTATGAAGCTGGCGATCGGTGTACCTCTAAACAGAAATAAGAAATCCCATGTGGTAGATAGTACTAAGGTAGTGAAACCGTCGGGTGCAGGTGGTAACACAAGTAGCATTTTAGAAGAAGTCATGCGCAATAAAACCATTTCGTCGACCCGCACCAGTACCGCATCTACGGATGATGGCGTGGAGGTCATGCTCGTTGACGAAAATTGGAATCCGATGGAGGTCGCAGATGAAATCCTAGCAGAACGTCCATGGACCGCAGACGTCGAGACCGCATTACCAAATGAAGTTCAAGTAGCTCTTAATGCTGATGCCGGTGGTACGACAGGAGGTGAAGATTTCGCAGGTGACGCGGTAAACCAGAGTCGTGAGGAGATCAACAATATCATGAATTCAGACGAAGAACACGAAGAGATTTCTGCAAATGAATCGTGCGAGAGCAGCAGAGATTTTCAGCGTGGGACAGGCCAGAAAGAAGAGCAGCTTTTTTTTACTGAGGATCCTGAACGGCAGGAGGCAACGATAGCACTACACGAGGCTTGTGCGTTAAGCCCTGGTCAACAGCATACTCACTGGTCATTGCTAATTTACTACAGGTAAATGAGTACGCCACACTGTCGTGATTGATGTTGAAGCAGACCCTCTTATTTTTCAGAGAAACAATGTTCATGTGGCGTTAGCTTGCTTCTTCTAAGAATCATTTGCGATATAGCTGCAGTCGAAACCCTGCTCGAAACGACCCCCGTTGATGCTCTGGATACCGCAGGCCGGACCCCGTTGCTGCGGTTGCTTCACGATGTGGAGGAGTTTGGTGCCGGTCCCACTACAACTAGGGGTGGGGCAGACGTAGAGGTGTTTCGTTTGGTGCAGCTACTCCTCCAAGCTCGGGCAGCGCCAAGCAGGCGATGCAGCGCGAACGATTCACCTCTTGAAATCGCAACGCGACTTGCAGAAACGAGGCTTAAGGCTCTAGATAGGAGTGAAAGTTGGTGTTTTTACAAATTTCGGATTTCCACCAGTGGCAATCTCTATACCATTCGCAGCGGGCTTGCATCATCGCCCTAAAAGTAAGAAGCGACAGAGCAGGCACAACATGCAGAAGAACTCCAACCACCTTATTTATTTATTTATTTGACTGCGATAAATATCATTTACATATACATTTATTTTCAAGAGTTCTTTAGCTGCGCTAAGAGTGCTGAATTCGAGTCTGTGCACTTGGTACTACATACCGTACAAAGTGCATGGGATTGCGAGCATTTTGGGGCCTGGCTATTTCCAAGGAGCTGATAGCAGGAGGAGGAGAGACTCTGTACAAACGAAGGCGATGAAAAAAAACTGCTGTGAGCAACAATGTGCTTGCGACCGCCTTCATGAATTAAATAATCTGATTTTGTAAAGCTCGCAACAGTTTGCATAAAGAATGTATGTAACGACTTTTCAATTCCTATTTTTTGATACTGTTGGAAATACTAAAGATCCTTTGACCATACCGGGGTGTAATAATTCTTACTGCCCGGTATGGTGAAGTCAGGAATTCGATGGAATAGCGATGATGCGACGTGGAAACAGCGAAAACGAAGTAGGCAAGGAGGTTGGTGCGAGCCAAGTTATGAAGCGATAAAAATTAAGGCTATAAACATGAAAAGCGGACGGGTGAAATTATTTGTTTATCCTAAACCTTTTTGTACTTGGTAGTGCAGATGCTCTCAACTAACGGTGCGTCCGGGCACGTGTTCCTTATGAATGCCACTGACTGTGTCCACGCGAGTAGCGGGTAGTGCCAAATCCGTTAGCTACGACTCGACCGCTTTTCGAATAGTTATGAAAAATCTTCATCCTGTTTTTTGTATATGATGTCGCACAGTAAGGGCCTGCTCTCTTACTCTTTATCGTGTGATAGATTGCGATCCAATTTTTCCCTCCACCATCTACGGCAGCAAGCACACATCATTAGCTTCCACACGTATTCTATCAGAAGCAAGCAGCAGCACTGTTGCGCACGTTTCCTCGTGCGAAAACTTGTGTTCGATTACTTCGCTCGGTCAGAGTAACAAGAGCGTGTTAGTATTTTGGTATCGGTCTTACTTCGTATTGTGCAATAACAGGCAAAAGGATCATCTTCTCGCCCTTAGAACTCTTACAACAGCTTCTACTTGCTTCTAGATCGGTGTGAGAAGTCCATTGTTATTCATAATTGAGCGACGAGTTGCATATTTTTTGGTATTATAATGTTGGAGTGCGTGAGCGCAGTCATTTTGAAGGAGCAACATATCGGTGGTCTTTGTGACAAAGTGAGACAGGTGAGCGATATTAAAAATGCATTCTGAGAAGTAAGAAGGAACAACAAAGTAAGTCGGATTCAGTACAGTGTCTTCCCGCGGCTCCCCATGTTGAAAGTAAACCCCAGCCTAATGCTCAGTCTCTCGTGTTCTAGACGTAGTTAAAGTAGGTGGAAGAAAAAAATAGAAGACTTAAAAGAAGAAGACTAGAAGTTGTGCTGTTGTGGACCCTCAACCCCTCTATACAGTATGTTACTTAGGGAACCTCATCCCAGATGAAGCAGCTATACACCAAGGCTTTTGCAGTGTTGTAGCTGACTTTAGGAATCAAAAACCACCGAAATCAATTTCTTGAGCGTCAGCATCATAGTCGTGAGTGAACCACTACAAGAACCACTACAAGCACAGCGTCAACTATAAGAACTCGAACAGACAGTAAAGTTGCCTTAGCTGCAATATTATGATACTCCGATGAAAATCCATTGCAGGAGCATGCTGCTGTAGTATAATTTATTGCATTCTACAAACATGACTGCAAGAGGCTGGGCGTTTGCGCGAAATCTAAGAGTTGCCGATACTGAAGTCGAACAAGGACAGAAAGATAGTGGTCTACTGTCTCCCTTCCCATATAGGGTAAGCTTAGAGGACGATGCGCATGACGTCGGCAGCGGGAATGCGATCTCGGTGCTACATTTTATTCTCGATTTGTTTGGTAGATATTAATAAGATGTGGGCGCGTTTGTGTACTAACTGTTGTTCTTGAAGACACGAGATGGTCAGATGATGCTTCTAATGGTCTTGTGCTCATCGTGAGGAATGCTTGACCACTTTTTTTATAATAGCTTAATGGATCGGCCTCTACTCCATGTCCACAACTCGTTTTGCATTTAGAAAGGAGCTGATCAAGATCTTAGGCCCGCTTCGACTGAGTGACTTTGCCATACTTGTTCCGTCCCTACAACAGGGAGAAGAGCGGGAGCGGCGAGAACGGCTCAACGCTTTGAATATCGAGAAGACGTACAGAGCGTTGATGCGAGAGAATTCGAAGACATCTAGATCGTCAGGAAACTGCGGCAGATTTCAAGAAAAAGAGGGAATACAAAAAGTCCCGTGGCATAGAAGACCGCCGCCTACGCCACCTCCACGACCCTCAACATTACGCACAGCGAAGAAGTCTATGGATGCTGCGTCCGGTGCTGCATCATCGAAGCGTGTTTCAGCTAGGTCATCAGCAGCGCCGTCGTTGCTGTCTCGGCCTGCCAGCAATCGTCTCACCAACCACGACTTCAAGAGCGTAGAAAAGACTAGCTCCATCTTCAGTACCAATCGAATGGAGAAGATAAAAAAGAACTTTTCATCTGCTAAGAATATTTCGTCGATCATACAACATCCAGCATCAAGATCAACCGCAGGCGGGTCTTTCAGAACAACCACATCAACGGACATGATGGCGTCTCCCTATCCCTTATCTAGTAGCAGTGGTAACAAAACACAAGCCACTTCTGCTATTGCGCAAAAAGTTGCGAATTTGAATGTAGACCTGCGTGATGCGGCTTCATCTTCATCTTCAGCATCCGCGTTGACGTCTGGCCCTGATGCGACAGGATTTATTGGAGGAGTGTGTAAAAGCTTTCAGAACATTCTATGTAAGTCTACCAGTGCGCACGACGCTCGAGCAGATATGGAGGACGGATTTGAGACTCCGTGTCGACGCAGTGCTGCCGGCAAGATAGCTCGAGAAAACCAAAAGCTATCAGCGGCAGCGGACTTCGTGCCTCCACCTCTGGTTGAAGATGACGGGATCGAAGAAGATAGGATCCGGGGCAACCCGTTATCAAGTCGTCCTGCTTTTGTTCCTCCCTTGCCTCTACATGTCCGTAGACGAACTGGCCACTCCGACATTTCCTGCTCACCGTGGTTTTCGAAACGGAAGAACGCGCGACACGAAGATTGTGACCATCAAAAGCGCGAGAAGTCTTCTCCTCATCTGGGTCTGCCACATACGCATGGCAACCTATGCAACGCCTCGCTACACCAGAAGGACATCTCACCCAAGAACAATGCCATGTCTACACCGGAAAAGAATCTTCAGGGTAAACATGTAACTGCGCGCAGTACTTGTAGTAGTAGAAGTAGAAAAATAGCTTTAAGATCCGCGGGCCGAGGTGGTGACGATGCATATTGGCGAGCGTCGCAGATCTTTATGCCGCAGCAGCGCAGTTCTGTAACGCCAGTTTGCCAGACCAGAGATGAGAAGAGCAGCCCTTCACTTTGTGACTCTAAGATGAAACCACGACAAGGCATGCGCGCGGAGAAATGCAGTTCTTCTATGGCGGGCGTGGAAAAGAAGAAGAGCATGGGGCTATCGACAGGCTTTGTGGAGAAAGCTCACGCCGTTACCGGGAGACGCAGAGGACCTGCGTCGCCAAGTCGTAGTCGAAGCAGAAGTCCTGACAAGGACATGAGGCAGTCAGCGGCACTCTGCAACGGAAAAATAGGGCTTGAAAAACCTCAAGTGCATCAGCTTCAAGCAAATGCAGTCCAAAGTGGGAAAATGACGGAAAGCAATGCCACATCAGCTCACTCATTGATCCCGCAGCAGATTCATGAACACACTCTGGCATCGGAGGGGTCCTCCTTGGCATGTCTTGCAGCAGAAACGGAGGAGATTGAAGTGGTAAACAACAAAAGTGGTGATGTAAACATCTCAAAGCATGATCATGCTCATCAAGAAGCAAGCCTGCCTCTGCTTCTATTTCCTGAGCCGGCAAAGCAGATTTCACTTGCGTGCAAAGCCAAAGCAGGTTCTTCGAAAAGCAACAACGACGATTCTCTGAGCAAACCAAGATCAGCGTCACCGGTGACACCTTCATCGTCAAACTTGACATTCCAGCCTGATGCTTCAACTACTACAAAGCATCAAAATCAAAGTAAAGCCTATAAAGATAAGACACATAGTGTGCTGAGTAGTCTGATGGTTCTGAAGCACCAGCTAGAAGATCCTTCTTTTCGGGACGGCCACATACGCGTAGCAGGGGATGCAGCATATGCAATTGGCGCACAGCAAAAACCCTCGTCAATCACAGGGAACAGCGTTGCAGCCCGTCTAGCGGCACCTGAGCAAACAGTCGTAGAAGAGCAGCGTGCTCCTTCTCCGGCGGAGAAGCCACATCAACAAGAAGTGCATGATCAACAGAAAAAGCCCACAAGGCTTCAAAGATTTCGCAAACTTCACACACGACCGGATACGAAAGGAAACGAGAGTCAAGGGATTACCCTGCCATCTCCATCAGTGACTCCAGCAGGTATTTCATGCCTTGACACTACTCGCAATTATCTCCCTCTAATAGTAAGCTTAAGTGATGGAAAAATTATGGACATGACGTGAAGATGTAGTTGTTTTGGCATTTCTTTGGTTATCGCTAGATCACGGAGTAGTACATTGGCCATGCAACGCTAATCATGAGGAAGAAGCTACTTGTAGTTATATTGTAACTATCTGTCGACGAGGTAGAGCTAGAGCTAGACGAGGTAGTCTTAGATGAAGAAGAAGAAGAAGCAGAAGCAAAAAGTTGTTATATATTTACACGAACCAAATCCACAAAATGATGCATCCTTAGGCTTTCAGTTTTTATTTGAGGTTTGTTATAGCTATAGAATCAAAGTGGTAGTCGCGACCATGAAGAGGTGAGGTTTGGTTACATTTAGTCTTTCATCTGGTAAAGTGCAAGAAGTAGACCATTCTACTTTATCTCGATGTGACTGCGTCGAAGGCAATCCTTTAAGCTGACATCTTCTAGTACAACACCAACTGGCGTCCCTTCACCAACAGACCGTCTCTATTACCATGACTCCTCCATGTTCACCTGCTTTCCGCCCGCTTGAAGTTATCTTTTTGCATTTTGACTTAGCTTTTTTATGTAGTTGCAGGCTGTGCTAGTGCGTTGCAGGGTGAAAATAACAATGCTACATGAATAAAGATCGATCGTTCTATCTTACATTTGGAGTGATTCATTCATATTTTTTCACTTGCTGATGTGGTCCTTCACTTTATTCTGGATGCGTAATATAATTTGTATCTGTACGCCCACGGTGCTGGTATTATGTGGTCTGCTCTTTGAAGTAATTTTTTACGTAAAGTATATACGTACCTTGAAACCGATTTCGTTGAGCTCATCATAATTAGATTTAGGCTTGGGGCTGGGGTTGCAAATAATTAAGTCAAATTTGTGCGACCCAATTCTTCAGTAATGATTTCTTGGTGAAAAGGAGGCGAGCCAGGTGGTAGTAGCTGATGTGGTCGTTGAAGATACTCTAAGTTTAACCGCTCTACTTTGCGGCTGAGCTAAGTTCCACCGCCATTTGTAGCGTCTCCTTCTTATGAGTTTGCTTTTCATTGTAGTAGCTACAGAAATCCAATTGGTATCACGCAGTAGAAAGATCTTTCTTGTTGTTAGGCTAGGACTACTAAAGACTGTCTTACTTTGCATATCTACGTCGTCTAAGCATTTGCGCCTAACCTAACCTTTCTCCTATACGACACGCGTTGGGGACTCTGAGTGGTCCGAGTCTGTTTATGAAGTGTGGAAGTAGAGTAGTGTAGAGGAGGAATAATTATTACAGCCCTTGTTAAGTTCTAGTAGATGCTAACTTGTTGCTCGTGCAAGAATTCGAGGACTAGGTCGTGGAGTTTGTCATGACAGTTTACAAATTCGAATGGGAATCGTACTAGGGAATTGTTCTTGATGGAGGTAACTTTTTCTAGTTTTTCTTTGTGTTTGTCTAAAAAATATTATACAAAAATATTAATACTACTGCTATAATCATGACCATGCTCTCTCATTCGTCCTGCTGAGAACAACATAAGGGGACTTACTTTCCTACAGCAATTTAGATAGTGGATAATACAATTAGAGACTGCAAATGTGTGAGGTTCTTTCTTCAAGAAGATAGGGCGAAACGCCAACAAATTACCAACAACATGCTTTCTCATCCTTTATGTTTCTTTCATTTTTCAACTTCGTTAATGAGTCTTCTAATCGCCGGTGCTTCTCATCTTAAACTCTGGAGGAGTATTTATGGATCAGTGATGCCTGTCCGCCCAGCACCTCGGTTAACATACGAAGTTGGTTCAGGTATTGACAGGTCTAATATACCGTGTGGCAATCGATATTACAGCACGGAGGGGAAGACGCAAAATTATCGAAAAGAACTAGAAGTCCACTGCGACTCTGGTGAAGGGTGACCAAAGATAAATTTAGAATATGGCTGAAATACAGTCAGGCAGGAAAGTAAAAATTTTGTGTCAAATAGTGCTTGAAGGTGTCCTCCTTGTCCTGTTGAGATACTATCTTTATAATTTCTCTGTCGTTTATGGTTGTAAAGGAAGTTTATTTTACTCATGTTCTTATCTAACTTGTTCTCACAATCACTGCTGTTGTTGGTCGATGTCTTTTTTGTTAGGTCTCTACTCACATATCTTAGTGCTTGATTTTGTCCCCGATCTATCAACCAACAGAAGGCGCTCCTGTCGATAATATGGCGGCATGCCCTGAACGAATGGCAAAACGCGGACAAGCCACTCACGATTCTTCCGGGGCGAGCAAATATTCCAAGACTTGTCCACTAGCGGGGGCGGATGGAAAGGTAACTACCACCATTTTTCTGGTCAAGGGTCTGGAAGTACGTATAGATATGCAAGTAGTAAAAATACGGTAGCAGCAAGAAAAACGAAATGAACTGGAACCAGCAGGGGTGATTACTCGCATCGAAGACAATTGGTTTCTAAAAGTAGGATCTGACAGAAGTACTGTTCAAGTGATTACTTTAGGGAAAAGCGTTGCTATTACACAATAAGTCAACATCAATTCAATCGCCAGGAAACTTCGACGGCGATGCTCATGCAAGAACGACAGTTAGGCGAGAGTCATTCTAATGTCACGGGCCGCGAATCCATCGAGCGAGGGCGCCCTGCAATGAAGAAGCAAACAGGTGCGGCAAGGAAGGGGCGGCCAATGGTTCCTACGACAGATGAGCAAGTCTCGCAAAATACCGCAGCGCAGGAGACAAACAATTATGAGTGTGATAGTTCGCGAGTAATACTAGTTGTTACAGAACATCAATCAAGATCATCTTCAAATGTCTCTTGGACTGAAAAGTCCTGTGGCAGAGGTGATTCCTGTTTGAAATTTTGTTGGTAAAAGCAGAAGCATTGCTAGATAACTAACATCCAGTTATAGATGAAGCAACAGAGTATCACTTTCAGCAGGAGACTTACGACATCGCAGCATCTTTGTGCCCATCTACCAGAAAAGAGTTCTCTTGTGGCAAAATCGAAAATAAATCGTCACCACGTAAGAACGCTTAGAGTGCTAGTAGGGGCTATTACTCGTTTTCTCGTTGTAATTTTAACAATTGGCTAATTATCTAAAGTGGAGTGATGTAGGGCAGCAGCTAGAATAAGGGGCGGGAATAATTATTACAGGACGGCCAAGACGTCATAGATATGGTTATCATCTGCTGACGTGGATACAACACCTATTCTCCACTGGTATTTTCGTCAGGCGGTTTGATTAACGTAAAATAGCCAGTTGCGTCTACTCAATGTCCTCCATTAGGTTTTGCTGCTGTGCATGCCTTTCCTGAGTCCGTCTAGACTTGCAAAGTGGTTGCTTTTCTTCTCAATCCAACAACCTTTTCCCATTCAACACTCTGAAAATTTAGCGTCAGCATCCTAGAAGTAGTTGTATATAAGAAGATACAAGTTCTGTTTCCCGTTTTTTTGAATTATTCTCAGGACTTATCAAGATCAAGTGCGAGCACCAATAGGGACATAGGGCGTGTCACGACTGAGAAAAAGACGATAGACTGTGATAATTACAGAAGAGACAACTTATACTAGAACACGCTCTGGGCTATTGCTGACGTCCTAATGGTTGTAGATGGAGGTGATCTCATCAGAATTTTGGTTATAATTATACTCGTTCGTCATCTTTATCCTACTTACAAGAAAGCCGCAGACAGTACGACACTGTCGATCATTATAATTCTCCCCAATCCCGTGCGTAGGTGCGTGGCTGCGGCGGAGACTCCACGAATAAATGAACGTCGGTCCACTGGTAGACAACATGGATGACAAAAGCTATTCAGGATTATTTCAAGTCGAGCATCTTGAAGGTCATCTTCTAACATGCACGCAGACCGGTGGGAAGACGCGGCAGAAAGCGGCCGGCGAGCGCATCACCGGACACCTCTCCTTGCTCTTCGAAAAAGCTAGACGCGTTCTTTCAGGAGGAAGTCGTACTAGAAAGTCCAGCCATAAACGAGGCGTCAAAGTTGACAAATGCAGGGCAATTGGGCGAAGGGGTGTCTCCGTGCCCTGGTCGCAGCGCAGCTGCAATCGCAGAGACCGCGGGTGGTGCTGCTGATCGTGCTGGCTCGAGTGCCAGCCAGAATTTATTTGATTTGGATATGTCACCAATAGAAAGGAGCGAAGGTGATTTTGAATGGGATATGCTGCCTGATATGGAGACGCTCGCAGATCGGAACCTAGAGACCTGCGCTGACGCTGCAGCCCCAACAAGTTGCATCTTTGCGAAGCCTGTCGCTGAAGGGTATCCTACGTCATCTTCATCTTCATCCGATACAACCACAAATAAGCACAAGAGACTGGTCGGCACTGAGGCATTTGATCAGAATAAGAATGAATACGGAAACACTGTGAAGATATCACAGAACTACTACTACTTCCGCAACGAGGGCACAAATCCAATCTCTACTCGTGGTTGTGCAGAGGCTTGCACAGGAGGCCAAACGTTGGAATCAGATGTGGATGTAGTCGTGAATCAGGCACATGCAGACGGTGCGGGCCAGCAAGGCAAGTCCAAGAGTCTCCAGGACCAACACGTGAGTCGTACCAAAGAAGTAGTCGATGCAGAACGCAAAAGCAAAGTCGCAAATCCTGCGATGAATGCAAAGTCTTGTCTTATTTCTTTTGATCGGTCTCGCGAAGCTCCTGTCGCAAACACAGACTCCGCCACATCCAGTCTCCGGCAGCAGTGCAGTTTCGTTGTTGGGGGGCAAAGCATAGAAGTAGAGATGAAGAAAGACGACGACGCCATGCTGGAGCATGGCAGCGAGTCGACTGTCGCCTTGGGCAAACGGAAATCATCAATGAGTACTTGTAACGCCAAGCAGAGCGCACCTACAGCAATACAAATAGCTGAGCCTACAACTACATCAACATCGACAAGCAAGGTGCCACAGAATCTGCAGGTGTTGGCCTCTAAGAAGTCAGAAGAAAAGCCAATGAGTGCAGCGTCTGAACTTCGTGTGCCCGTTTGTGCAGAGTCCTCATATTCCGAAGGAAAATCAAATCAAGGCTTCTCCAATGCATCAAAAACAAGCAGCAGTAATCGCGTAGTCCCTAAAGCAAAAGCAGTTTCTTCTAGCGATCAGGAAAAACGAGGTCTCGGCCGCACCACGGGGGTCGCTGTGGAAAAGAGCAAGAAAAGAGGTAGGCCAGCCGCATCATCAGAAAAAGACCCACCCAAGACTAAGATAATGAAGAAGAGAGCTGCCGCCAGTACTACAACTCTCACTACTTCTACTGCTATGAAGAAAGCGTCTTCGCAGAAAAAGGCGGCGCCAGTGATGAAAAAGCAAACCTACAAAAAGAAAAGCGGCAAACTTGTACTACATCAAGAAGATACCGACTGGGAAGGGTTTGACGATCAAGAAGACGATCTCCTCGAAGAGGGTTCCAGGCCTCTCTTTTCTAGGAAAAAAACAAAGAAAAACGCAATACATCAAGAGAAGCATGCAGCCACAGCAAAGGCTATGAAGAAGAGTCGCAGTGCGAGTAGTAAACAGCATCAGAAAAAAGGTGGTGTCCGTAAAAAGGTCGAAAGGCTGTTGGAGAGTGACAGCAGCAGTGAGTCTGACGACGGGCAGGAGGAGGCATTAGACGACCCAATCAGCGACAAGTCCGAGATTGATGAACAAGAAAGTGAGCGGCGCCTAAAAGTTCGTCGAAAAGAACTAGCTCGACAAGCACGCTTACAGACGTCGAAAGAGGTGATGGAGTGGCTTGACGAGTTCAATTTCGTACAAGCGAGGAAGTTTCCGTGTTACCATGTTAAGCCCAGGCGAAGCGCTTCATCTTGTCAGGCATCTTGGGTCCCGTTTTCCAGGGCAAAATGAGACCGAAGATACTGCTGTAGATGAAAGACCGGCCTGAATTCTAACTACAATATGACCCCTGGCACAGTGCTGGACTCCATAGACGACGAAGAGCGGCTTCTGAAACTAGTACAGGATGAAAAGAAGAAGCTTCAGCAAGCCGGCCTTTGGGAGGTTCCTGATGACTGTGGGCAGCAAAGCTTTTGGGCAAGATACGAGATCCGACTAAGGAGCTTTCAGAAACGCCTGGCAACGCTGCGAGTGGCGAAGCATAGGGCACAGAAGAAGCTGGGAATTATATAGAGCTTTGCACTACTTCGATAGATTTGCATTTAGTCTTCCAGGTAAACTAGGGGATGGCCTGTGTGTCAAATAGTAACTCTAAGTCCGGGCGAAGTTGTTAGTTCTGCGATCTTTGGCTTTGGTCAACGTAAGAAATCTATCAATTGTCGGTGCTCCTGCATTTCTAATTTTTTGCGTTTATTGAATTTTTTAGTTCCGGGGCAGGAAAAGTCGTGACGAGTCTTCTTATAGAGTAACTTTCTTTGTCAGGAGCCTCATTATAGTTATACTGGTCGTTGCGCCAGCAAGTTCACTTAAAACCCAACTCTTGCTATATTAGTTATGTGCAGTATACTTCAGGTTCAGTCTCTAGGGTACTCAGAATGACGCCGTGGGGAAAGAAATATTACCATACGGAACGCTTGCTAGTGTCTTCTAATTATTAATGCATTTAAGAATAAAAAGCCAAAGCAGACCCCAATTATAAGAATTTCATGAGACATGTTGAAAATGTATAGCCCCAAACATAAGGACTCCTGAACAGTTCTCGTCTTCTCTCACGACGCATGCGATCAGCGCAGCCCTAGACAGTAGTATCTCGATTCCCAAAGCCTGTGTAATAGTAAGTTGTCGGCTTGCAGGATGAGCGCTCCAGAAATTATGGAAAATAAATGTTTTTTAGGTAGCACGCAGCTGCTGATCATTATAGTAGCTTTCTCACATCGGCCAGGCGTAAGAAGGCCGTCAATTGGAGAGCCGCATGTTTCCACAATAGGTCCAGGGTTTGCTTATAATAAATATAGTGACCAAATGCATTCGACTGAAAGTAAGGCACTGGTAGTACTGTCTATTCTAGATTTTACATTTGCTAGCTTATTCAATGGACTCACGAGTGCTTCATTATAATTTCTACAGCGTTTCCATCGTTTCAGTAACTCACACATACCTTGATCTCAAGACTCGATGTTTCTTGGCTGATGAAGTATCAAAGAAGTGCAGGCTTCTATAGCTCAGCATTATAGTTTTCTTCTCATAGACAATAGGCATAGATAGAAGTATCAGTAAGAGGTGTAAAACAATAAAAAGACCAACTGTCATTCACCCGTCTAAAGAAAGACCACGGACTGCTGACGCCATGTATATCTGCTGGAGAGTTTGAATGTCTACAGCGATTTGCGACGTAGGCAAATGCAATTTCGCCAGTGAAAACAAGTTTCCTCTTTACCATAAATTGCATAGCTAGGAGGATTGACATCAGGGAAGTAGTGCCCTCAGAGGTAAGGCGAGGGTGGAGCGAAATCCTGAGAGACTACGATGAGCGCGCTTTTTTGGAAATCAATGGAAATGCTGACAGTAATGCGAGCCTGTCATCATGCTTGGCATCAGAGGAGTAGATGAGGGACTACAACACCATGAGCGTGAAAAACCAAACAAAGAGTTGCCTTGTTTTTCGTAGCGCAGTGGTTGTTTTTTTCGGGATTCCATTGGTGTTAAAGTAAAATTATTAATAGTCATTCTTGACAGGATAGCACGTGTCTGTCATATTGGGGAGCATGCTTTTACTTTCTATGTCTTTGTGTAAGTCGCTGGTTCAGTTGTGCAATATAGTAGGTGGTTAGAAGGGTCTGATTTAGACACCCAGCAAATACTTTTGAAGAGAACAGCAGTCAACCAATCTCAATCAAACTACTACTATGTATAGGGGTATTTGCAGAAAGGTAGGAAAGGTGCCAATTGTTGGTAACAACGTAAAAGTTAGCACTCGGTGAGTACATAACTAAAAAAAAATGGTTGTCGACAAATTGGTAGCGTTAAGGCCGTAGCTACTACATCTTCAAAGTGTATCCTTGAACAGTATAGCAGGAAGAGTGGCCTTCTATATTGTTCGAGGATGGTCCTGACAGATGAACTGCGAACAGCTCTAATAGTGGCGCCGATTCATCGCAGGGCCGACGTTCGTGACGTTATCACGAAACAGATGAAGAATCAACAGGCGATGATTGATATTGTTACGCTTTTGTGTCTGAGTTTGTTGCATATTCAATGAATTTTAGTTCGCCTCATATGAGTTTCAGTACTAATCAACATCACTGACCTCCCTGTGCAGCATGTAGTTTAAAGTTTTCTTGTCGTCGGCATCCTCGAGAGCGTTGCTGTTGTTTAGCTCCGTATCCTCAGGCGTGAGCTTACAAGTAAACTCTAATATTGTGAACGACCGCCGCAACAGCCAAAAAGCCGGAATCTTGAAGCTGTTAGACGAACAAGACAAGCACAACACGTATCTCCGCATGGCACTTGGAGCCATCTCGCAGGTGCAGCCACATATAGTTGCTTTCTGGGTGATAGTGTCTCCTTCGTCTTTTCTTGACTATTTCTTGTAGTACTCATGTTAACTCAATTGTCAATGACAAATTGAAGAGCTGGCGCATCATTATCATTACTGAACCCTAACCGACGACTTCTATTTTAACACCCCAAAATCTTAAAGTCTACATCTTATCATCACCCAACAGGAGTCGTGGGACAGCATGGGCTTGACCATGGCCCGATCCCGCAGTGCAGATTATGGCATTTAAATCCAGAGGATTTTGATTTGGTCTTGATTATTGTGTTAGCTTTCACAGGACCTATATCTCAGCAGCACTATCCTAGACAGCATAACTCTACTTGTTGCCACGCCCACAGCAGACATAATCAGCTACCCTCTTTACCCCGACGTCGTCTCTCTCTCTCTAATCGCAATCGATGCGTGCTCCGGAAGGCTTGTTGGGTAGCTTCGCTCAGAGTATGCGCTTCGGACCTTTTCAAGGAGGACCCGGCATCGGTCAGGTAATTTGTAGCTTCGTATGTGAAAGTTTGTATCTTGATGAAGATAGCTACTTCTACTAGGTAGATCATCTGAGGTACAAACTGCTAGAGGTTTGAATCCAAAAAAACGGCTCAGATCAAACTTCGTAATCGTGAATAGGTTCGGGGAACTGTATATATTGAAATCCAACTTTTCTTCTATCTCGTTTCTCTCTAGGTCGCTGCTGTGGTCGGTCCCATTGCTGCTGGTATTACCGCTGCCGGTGCCGGTGGTAATCGTGCTCCAGGTCCACTCTCAGCCACGTCTACAACAACCACTACTGCCACCACATCTGTTCGCGTGGTATGGTCTTTTTTTTGTTCGATTTAGATTTTTTAGATTTCTGGGTTTCATCTACATTTTTTGGCGGAACAAGAACTGGGACTTATCATGAAAACACGAGTAGTCCAGCATGTAGTTCAAAACGTTCTTCGATTATGTTCTTCTCCACTACCATACATCACCAGGACCAGCCATCTAAGGAAGACGCTACTGTGAACCACTCGCAAGTAACGAATGACCACAACCTGAATGACGAGACCCGCCTCGACGATTTTTTCGTACTACTGACAGATGATTCTAGAGGACATTTCACAGCATGAGCATCTTTTTAAAAACTGAAAAGTTTTGACTGGTTGATATTATATTCACAAGAGTTTCATCTTGTATTGGTAGATTATGGATTATCAAAAGTTCAACACGTTGTTTAGACTGCACCTACCTATCTATTACAGCTCCCAACACTTTTGCAGGATCCGTCGCCGGCGGCGAAGCGCAAATGCTGTGAAGGCAGTAAGACCAACACCATGAACAACACCAACGACAGCAGCGTCTGTCTCAGCGCCACTAGCAGCAGCAGCAGCAGCAGCACCGGCAATCGCAACAGTAACAACAACATCGTGGACAACAGCAAAGCTCCGGTGAAGGCGGAGATCGCTGGTTCAGATGACAGCATCTGAAGCCATTTCAGATGAAAGACAGGCCTAGTACTGTTAGGTTGTCTGAAGCTGAAGATGATGCTTTTAGCAGGTTTGATATTCAGTTGTAGCTGTTGGTGTAGAATTTTCTTGATAGATATGAAAGTGTTAACTTCATTATTCATGATCTTCCTTCTTTCTTATAATAATTGAAGTAATAACTCGAAGTAAAACAAGATAAAGATCTACAAACAAGGCATGACTTGATCTTGATGATATTTATGAACCATTTTTGATATGAAAAATATGTTCTTGTCGATATGGAGTACTAAAATTTGTCTATATAATTTTACTTTCTATTTTTCAGTAATTATTATATCTAATCATTAGGAATTCTAGTGGTAGTACAGCTCAACCTCATTTATCAGTATTACCAATGCAGTCGTGTTATTAAAAGCTTCTTGTTGGTGATGTATCGTCGATGTGGTCATCCTCTTTTCTAGTACTCGTGATCGTGTCTGTCTAGCATAGTACCAGCCGACAATACAACTCGACTACGTGCAATATAAGTGCTTATCGATCATGATTGGCATCGTCTAGTTTGCATGCAACATCTAGCACGGGTGACATCTCTGAAGGGGCGAGGGGTTGCGACTGAAGTACTGAAGATGCAGTGGGATTGAATATCGCCGAAGAATAGGACTAGAAAATGGGGGACCTCTAGGCGTTTAAATGAATGTGCTTTCTCTCAGTGACGTGGTGCGTTCTGATAAACAGTAGTACAGTATTACTACAGTTGCATATATATCAAGCTTGAGAATATTAGCTATTCCTTACAAACATCTTCGTATTTCATAGCAAGCGAGAGATGTTGCTAGGTATAAAAAAAGGAATGCAGGCGCATCATCTGAGTCATTACTCGAAGTTCGCTTACCAGTGGTAACTTAGGGATGTGGAACTGCATTTCTTTTCTGGTATGTTTCACACTAGGGAGGATGAGTGAGGCTCTGCTTGTGCAAAGAAGCAGCGGGTGGGGCTTCAGCCGTGGCTCGAGGAACTGTGGCGCATGCTGCAGTTAAAACATTCACAGATATTCAGATTCTTGTGGTTTCAATTTTGAACTAAATACACTCCCATCAGTATTTTAATACAAACCCCTTATGAAGTAGTCTTCCATGAGCAAGAGCAAGAGCCTGCGCTTTTGCATACAAAGCCCGCAGAAAAAGGGCGATGAGACTGAGAGCAAAGCAAGGAAGGAGAGAGGCTTGACGACTTTTCGTCTTTTCCTGTGGAGCTGACAATAAGTGACGCTTAATTTTTTAGAGAGCGAATCATGGAGGAAAACGTGAGTGGTGAGTATTGCTATAAGCGATGGTTGAACAAGGCCCAGAGAGAAATTGGACTTGGAGCGCTTGGATTTAAACTCCTGCTATTTTATTCTTTCGGAACTTGCAACGTATTGCGTTTTTTCTTGTGCAGACTGACGTAGTCACTTCCTAGTAAAAACCATCTATGGGCGAGTAGTTGAATGGATCACGTATACTGGCACACATTTCGCGGAGTCTTATTCTTTGTCTCAATGAAAATCGTCACTACGTTTACTACAACGACCTGGCCACTTACTACCTCTCGTGCTTATCTCTTCGTCGTCTTCTTTTCGCAATTGTAGGACTAGCATCACATCTGATCGTTGTTCTTTTGCCAGCTTCGGCTGAACGACACTGGCAATCAAAAAATGACGGACCTTCAGCAAGCGACCAAGTGCCCGAAGTGCCACTCCAACCCCAAAGACAGGTATCAACTTTTGCTGACTCTTGGTTTTTATCGGAAGTTGTAGTTGAAGTATTTCAACAAACCATGACCATGCATCAAACCTGTAGAAAACTTTCCATGAGTATAGTTCGACGACGAGAAGTATTTGAAATAGCTGACTCGTTATAAAGCTTGGCTTTTTCAAAATTCATATTCTCTCTAACGAAACACTCTCTCGACAGGGACTTCCGCGAGTGGGAAGACGAGCACTATGCAAGCCTTGGCTTCGCATTGACCGGAGCAAAGTGGCAGGTAGATTCAGCAACTCTATTGGATGGAGATTTAGGCTTTGTCTGTGATATTTGTGGTATCTTGCTAAAGAATTTAGATAGCAAAAAGAACGTGAAAACTCATTGTGCCGCTAAATAGTTTTGATTTCCCTGCTGTCGATGGTATGAGAGTCTTTCGTTACTTCTCTGAGAATTATTGATGACTTTTTTATAAACGTAGGAATAGATTTGGTAGCGTCGAAACTTTTAGGGCTTTCAAAGAACTAGGGCTATTCTTATCTGAAGTTAATTCCTGGCAATTTTAGTATCGATCATCAATCAAGGCAATCCAGCTGTTTTCACTTAATTCCTTACACCATCACAATTCATATCAGACTACTACGTTTTTTACGTTCGCGGAGACGGATAAAATGTTGCAGTGCCTTATTTGCCAGATGCTAAAGGCGGACTGGAAGAAGCTGCAACTTATGCGTGGTCGACTATTTCCCAAGTATCTTCTTCCATTTTTAGACGATAAGAAATTGGATTTCATCACCCCATACGCCTTTCTTCTAATAAATGCATCGTGGACCTGAAGGCGAAGGACCTGAACTTATGGCAATCAAACAGAGTTTCTATGTAGCAACTACCGGCGAGGCTATATGTGGTAGTGCACACATTCAGGGCCTCGCGCTCTTCATCGACTTCTTATTACTGACCTTTGAAATTTTTGACAGATGTTCTAACTTTAGCGTTGAAAAACACGCTGGCTCGCTACGCGGGAAACGAAAACGGCCTTTTTATGACTTCAGCAAGTACATCTTTATTGTCTTCCCCCCTACCCATAGGCCATGACTCAGGGAAGAGTAAGAGGTCTGTGAGTCAAGGTGTACTGGCTAGGATGAAACGTCTAATAGTATCCACATGTGTGAATCGGTACTGCCAACCCATTTTTGGGGGTTTACATTCGAGTTGTTTTGTCAGCAGTGGCTGCCGCTATGGAGTATGCGATTAAGGACTCTGAAGTATGACTAGATAGGAACGTGTAGCTTGCAGTATAGTCTTGGCAAAATAATTAGGACTGCATAGCGAAATGTTGAAACTTTTGTCTTGCCAGTTAATGACCCTCAAAGCGGATCTCGAGAAGGAATTTGGCGACGCCGTCGATTGGAATAGTAAAATTGCCTGCGCCCGTCTCTTTCGCGACTTACCCAGTGATTACGGCTACCGCTGCAGCATCCTAGATAAGACCCTCAGCCATTCGCTGCACACTGTGTGTGCATGTGGCAGAGTCATATCTGGCGTCTAGGATGCGAGCGGTAGCGCTAAGATGATTGCTTCAAATGGCTGTGGGAGAAGGAGGACGGTTCTCATATGATTAGTCGTTCGATCTTGTTTTTTTCTCTGCAACCTTTGCGTGTAGGAACATTTAGTATAGCGGTTGAAAAAAAAAGATATGATAAAATGTCATTTATACCAAAATGTTGTTCTTTTGTAAGTAGTTCGCAGTGGAAATATGGAAAGTATAGCAGATTACTTTTTATTGTTTGATCTTAACAGCGGCAGCCGAAATAGCAGCCCGTGAGGCTCGGGAACGTGCTGAGGAACAGCAGCGCTTGGCTCGTTTTCGAGAGCAACAGCGTGTGGCGGAATTGGCGAAAATTCAAGCCGAGGAAGATGCAAAAGAGGAGGCTGACAGGAAGATGCGCGCTCAGCAGCAAAAGATCGATTACGGATGATCACTACTGCCTATTCAGTGACCGGGATTAAATGAAATTGAGTTTTAAACTAAAGATGTTTTCGATTCCTCATCATATACGACGAAGTAGATCCCTCATTTTTGGATCCTAGACAAAGTCCGCCAGTTTCTAATCCATATCTCTGCTGGCCGAAAATCGCCGTCTGCAATTGGAGAAGGAGTTGGAGAAGGAGGCCGCGGAGTTGGAGAAGCAGGCTGTGGCGAAGTTGGAGAAGCAGGCTACTGCGGAACTTGACCAGTTGGCTGCTGCGACCACTCCTGTTGGTATTTGCGCAAAAATGAAAAAGGAGGATGTCGAAATTGTCGAGGAGAAATTGCCGGCGAGCCCCATGTCCTACTACAAGCATTCGTCGCCAAAAAAAAAGATGAATCCCATGAAGTACTTTTTGCTTCTTTCTTATAATGCATTGACATCGACGCTCGATCGTATTTTAGGTCAATTTCGGCAAACGACTTGAGCTTCAGTCTATTGCTTCTCAGCCTATCCACTAATTTTGATTTTTCTCTTCTCATCTACCTAGAATTAGAACTACACTCATAACTACAGGAGCCCTCCGCATATTCAGTGCCTTGATGAGGGTGAAGGAAAGCTCCTTGTCGAGGGTCCGGTCGCGACTCTATTGCCGGGTGTCACTACCGCGAAGACGATGGAAGGTTCTGCTGTCAATTTGAAGAAACGCATCGGAAAGCTGAAGCGCCGCAGTGACGAATTTCTGTAATACCGTTGTTGTTTCTTGATTCCGATTGTGATGCTGCTTACGAGGATCGTGATCACATGTATTCCTAGTATTCTGTGCAGTTCAAGATATTACTGGATCTTCAATCTTCATCGGCAGGCTTTCCTTTCAAATCGATTTTCTCACTCACCACTTCTGATAATCACATACTCCAGGCAACAAGAAGATGAGCCAAAGAAATCGAAGATGGCGGCCGAGGTTGTCAAGGCTGAGATGAAGGAGATCATGGTTACCGACGAAATCATGGGTATGGCCGAGAAAGATAACATCGTGAGGCAGGAATCTGGTAAGGCTATGGTCGAAGAGCTTGTTGGGGCGGAGATCGAGCAGTCGCTGTCTGGGCAGGAAAACGAGAGTCATGAAATTGCTATCACAACCAGCAATGTTGAAACCGATAAAGATGATGCAGATTACCAGGAAGAGTCCGAGAAAGGAAGCGGCGGCAATGACTCTGAGGGGTCCGATTTTGAAGTACTTATGTTGTCGATTTTCTTTGCTGCAAGCAATAACGGGAGAAAATGATGATGAACTATTTTTCAGAGATTCTCGGACTAAATTCTTCAACCAACGACCCTCGTCTACTTTTTACCTTTCAACTTCGAACCAAAATCTAAACCATAATCCTGTGATCACGAGGAATCCCAATCCGAGGCGCAGAAAGAAGAGTCGCAAGTCGAGGCTGAACAGCCGGTGGTGGAGGCTGAACAACCGGTGGTGGAGGCTGAACAGCCGGTGGTGGAGGCTGAACAGCCGGTGGTGGAGGCTGAACAGCCGGTGGTGGAGGCTGAACAGCCGGTGGTGGAGGCTGAACAGCCGGTGGTGGAGGCTGAACAGCCGGTGGTGGAGGCTGAACAGCCGGTGGTGGAGGCTGCCCAGGTGTCAGACGTCGGCAACAATGTTGTCGCCATGGAGGTGGAGGATGAAGACCTCTAAGTAATTACCTGTTCTAGTTTTTTTGCTTTGTAGTTGAAGTTTAAAACCTGAGTATTAATGTTTTGTGGATTCTTTGTTTTTGTCGGATTTATCTAATAGGAATAGGATGTAGCCCTCGGTGTTGATGATCCTGTCATACCTAGGGGCAGACGACAAAAACCAACAGTTTAAAGCTTTTGGTTTTGAGGTAACATTTTGATTGTTTTTTCTTCATCAATTAGAGAGTTTCAAATGGTCACCTTTGTGGCCAGTGTTGTAGCTCAGACAGTTGCACCATATGGACATCGTGCTACGCATCTATTCGAATACAAATACTCGATCTATTAGTAGTCAGTCAACATTTCTTGATTGGGATTTGGATGGAGATTTGATGAACAAGGTTGCAGGACTTGACTGTTTCCACTGCAAAAAAATCCAGGACATGTCTTTCGTTGGGGTCTCGGACTTCTTCATGGTACCCATAACAGCATTTACCAAATTTATCTTTAGGTTAATGCGGCCGGAGAGGAGGAGGTCTATCAAGTGGCTGCTGGATAGACGGAATGGATCCTGGGATGAAAAGAAAAGCGCTTGATATTCAGAGCTGTTTGTGGCGATCACTGAAATGCTTATGTCTTTACCTTATTGATGGTAGACGACGAAACAGAATATGTGACATCGCGACAAATCAGATGCAATATCTGTGAGAATCAGAGGAAGTCACAGAAAGCCTCGCTGTTCATTCGAAGTTTTTTTCTCTCCGTCTTGATATGGATTCATAAGTTTTATCTGAAAGAGAGTCTTGATTTTATTCTTGTTTGATTTGTTAACATGGACGTAAGATAGTAGTAGTACGCACTATTGTCAGGTTGGTAATTCCATACAAACTGAAGAACTACATGAAAATTAGTAAACGTCGATCGGTACAAGATGTCATCGTTACTAAGCTGCACTTCTAAACGTAGGCCCAGACTACAGCTATAAAACGAACAATCAACAAGAATCATATGAGGAACCTCTATAGTAATTGTTTTGATTTAATTTCGTAAAAAGTGATTTATTCTAGTAGATATATATGTATTAGTACCCATGATAAATTCTAAAAGTATTTTTGACAGAGGACTTTTTCTTTCGTCGTGATCCCAGTTCGTTTACCCTGAAACTCAAGGATTTCACCGTATGCCCAAAAACCTCACCGCACTTTTCGTACACATTCAGTCCCATGATCTCATGCAATTTCAGCGTCTCTATATCTTGTTGTTCTAAACCCTCTAAGACTCAAGCCATATGACGAGGCAGCTGAATGGATGCAACCGGTTTCGAGTGTGGTGTTCGAGGATGTGGCTGCAGAGTTGTTGTAGAAGAAGATGTGAGGGAGAAAACATTAATAAGCGAGTACTCATTTTCGTGAGAATACTATAGTGCCGTTGCTACTAGTAAAAACCCAAGCCCGGTGTTGTAGTACAACATCTGGCAACAAGTATAAGCCTAATATAGAATCTCTCAAAAGATCAGCAATATCATCAAATGTGCAATCGGCTGTACAAGTTATATCATGCAGTAAAAGCGATCGGAAATCATTTGGAGTTCTATTGTTTATCCAGTATCAAAATTTATTAGGCTCGACGATAAGTATACAGAATGAAGTTTTCTTAATTGCAGAATTTTCTTTATATGTTGTCATTTTCCGAAATAAGCTGGATGTACCCCTAGAATAGGTTTAATACTACGACTACTAGGATACGATCTTTCTACGAGTCTAATCATAGGAGTCCTGGCAAAAAAGTCACTATCTCATCGCACTGCAGAGAATTGATGGTCGAAGTTGAGTAAATTGATAGAATTGTGTGTGAGTTACATAATTACGAACTGCAAAAACATGAACACCAAAAATTCGAATATTTCTTTCTTGTAATGTCTACTGTCGTGATATTGTGCCCATGATGCCAGGCGGTGAGAATTCTTACACGCTCAGCGTCTTGCTGCTCTGATTATGATGAAAATCTCTGGTGCTAGTTGGTGCCGTAGGAAACTGCAGCTGCGACTAGAGAAGACAACACAGATGAAAGAGCAACAAACTCAATGACGTAAAACCTGACATGACCCCCGACAACGTAATGTATCCCCGTTAACGCCAAACTGAGGTCTTTAGTGGTTACATCCCAACAATATGATGGCGGAGAGGCGCTTTTCTATTTGTACTTGTTAAGCTCGCAAAGGACACGGTACTGATTCCAAGGAACGCGCAGCCTCAGTTTGTTCTGTTCGAATCCTGGCTCCGAATTTTGTGCTCCAACTCTCAATCTCAAAACTTCAGTTTCTCAGGATGATTTTTCTAGTCCACGTGTCCGGGTCTGCAATCAGAAAAGGAGCTGTGGGCCCTTTTTTTCATGTGTGAAATCCGGAGACGAGCAATTATATGAGGTGATCCAAAATCTTTGCTTTGAAATCTTCAGTCTCAAGATTCAAATCCAACATGCGCGAAAAAACCAAGAATATCAGCGTGAAACTGAAGTGAATGAATGTCAAGAACTTTAAGGTCTGGCCTTGGCATTGTTTGAGCACCGGGCGTGCGTCGTGACGGAGTATTCATGAACAAGTAAAAAATTGTGGCCCTTTCCTGATGCGTCACTCATGGGCTCCCTAATCAGTGGCGAATGCAAATAGTGGAGAAGGTCATATAATGATAGCTACTCCTGCGAATAAAATAATGCACTTTGTTCTATTTTTGGTAATGCTGGGTCTGATTTGGATGATGGCCACAGGGTGGCGCTATCGTTATGTTCACTGGCTGCTTGTCTCGATTTGATTGAACATCAAGTGAGTCATCACAACTGAAGAGCACCATCTTTATCATGGGGCGCCGGGGAATTCTTCCGGACCGCCCACCGGTAAACCAGCCGTACATCGAGCGAAATTTCAGAGATGGAGGCATTCTACGGTACGTTCTGCACGGGGACTCGTGGCGTGTCTGGGTTCCTCACAGCTTGGGCAGAGCAAACTTGGAGTACCTGGACGCGCAGGTACAGTTTGCACCGAAGAAAAACGGACCGGTTGCAAAGCTGGCAAATGGAGAAGATGCGCCTATCTTATGTGCCATAGATTGATATAAGTACGCATTTCTCATTAGTGGTTGCTCAGGATCATAGGGCTCCTCGGTTCCACTTGTGAGTCCTGAAATAGTTCATACTTTGATGAAGATAGGGGCTCGATAAGGAAGCCCAGTCTCTTTCTCGGCAAGTCTAGTTTCTGTATACTTTGACTCTAACTCTGGTCGCCAGTGCAAGTAACTGCAGAAACGTCACTCGACGTTTGCTTCGCAAGACGTACATGGCGGACGCAGCACGGCGGGAGCAGGTCGTGAAGGACCAGGAGATGAATAAATTGAAGGCGCCAAGATTTCCATACGATGTTGATGCTGTTCCAATGGATTTCTTCTGGGGAGAGTATCTACCTGCGCGTGCAGCTCAGGCGGGGAGTCGTTTAAGGCTATTTGTGCTCGTCATTAACTCTTACTCGATCTCTAAAAGCATCTCGTTATTGGGTAATTTTGTACTTGATCTGCGGAGGGAGGCCACTAGGCTTCCAATAAGACCTAGAGATAAGCTAGCGATAAAGTTTTAGGTAGATCAGAATTGGATGAATTCTTGCAATATTTTTTGTTTGACATTTCAGCTTGCTATATTTGTTATGGTATGGCTGTATCATAGAAACAATCTAACACTTGGCGTTCGCAATTCGCGGCAGTTAACCAAGATGCAGAGAATGAAGATCACTCGAGCAGAACGGTACGGAGAAAAAGTGCGCAAGCTAGTGCCATGGGTTGTTGGATTTCTGAGCTTTGTCGACACATCGGAGCTCTTCATCGATACAGAAGAAAACCAGATGTTCCTGGACAGCATTGAGGCGGAGGAGGCTATAGTAGAGATGTGGGCTGCAATGGAAGTAGAGACCTTTGACGACTCTGACGACAGTGAGGAGGAGGTCGTAGATACTGCGCAGGAATTCGTCAAGTACATCAGCAATCAGATCACGAGCGAGCCAGCTGCTGCCGTGGTCGCGTGTGCTTTAGCGATTCGATCTTGTCCCGAAGTTTTGGAATTTGTGGGAGACCGAGTGCAGTCGGCTCTTGCGCATTTTTTGACCGATGACAAGCGAAAGCCATCAAAAGGCACCACTCTTCTTTTTTAGCAGATGTTATTGAGAACGTTGGGGTCTATTTGACCTCGGGGGCCGGCGTCGTCTTCTTCATCATCGCCCGCCCGCGCTCAAAAGCTTGTAGTAGTAGATGCATAGACTAACACTCAACCATCCAACGAGTTCATAAGAAGACGGCGTCGCCCATTGGCAGGGACCACTCATAAGAGTCGGAGAAAAGCAAAAGCGTGTGTTCTCGAGAAAGAGAAGAGCGAGAACGATTACGCCCAAAGATCCTTCTCGGATCGATCTACGGCTATGAGCCTGGCACGACTTCGGCCTCCTATGGTCATGCGCTCGCCGGTTTCTTGGGGCTTTTGCGTAGTCTTTCTTAAAAGCGCAAGAGCCCAGTTTCTGGCAAGGCCTGTCGTCTGACTGATCTGACTGTCGCGAGCTTGCTCACGAGTTCGATTGTTGTTGTGTATTTATTAAGAAGATCCACATCGTGAAAAATACTGTCGGAAGTCATGGCTTGTTTAGTTGCGTTTTTTTCAGATTTTTTTCAGAGTTTTGAGAGCTCTCGCGTGGTCGACAGTATTAAAAAAAAAAAATTGGACTCTCGTACTGTAAGCTCTCAAAAGGTTGGCCACTTTGCTAGTTCCTTCCAATGATACTGTCGGAAATTTGGCAACCGCGAAAAAGCAAAAAAAACAGTCAAAAAAACAGAACTTCCGACAGGAGCATAAATTGCCTCCGACAGTAGCGTAAACTATTCCGACAGTAGCGTAAACTATTCCGACAGTAGCGTAAACTATTCCGACAGTAGCGTAAACTATTCCGACAGGAGCGTAAACTTTTCCGACAGTAGCGTAAACTATTCCGACAGTAGCGCAAACTATTCCGGCAGTAGGCTAAACGATTCCGACAGTAGCGCAGACCAACCATCCCGGCAGTGGCGTCCATCATTCTGGCAGTAGCCTCAATGCCTCCGGTAGTAGTATCAACATCCCGGCAGTAGCCTACACCGTCTGGGCAATGGAGTCCAATCATGTCGACAGTGCCTCGGATCACTTCGCAAGTCTAGGGCAATCCCGTAGGAGCATCAGCCGCCTCGGCAAGTTGCTGGCAGTGAAAGCGATTTCGACAGGGTAGCGCGCTGGCTTGGTTTGGTCAGTCGATCATATGGGAGAGAAGCTGGCAGGGCCCTCGGATCAATTTACAGCAGCGCGAGCGAGCTCGTGTGATGTTCGTGGCAATTTGGCAAGAGAGCCACGCCAGCGAAATCAGTAGCGAACGACCAAGAGCAGAACGCGCGAAAGCATGCAGCTGGGGCGGCAGCTCCTTGCTGATCTGTTCCCACTCTTTGCGGGTGTGCAGCTTTGGGCAGGTTCTTCCGGGGTGTAATAATTTCGACGCCCCGCTGTCGTGTTTGTTGTTTTGTCGGTCTTCGTGCCCCCGTGTAATAATCTACGCAGGGCGCTGCTGCGTGGGTTGTCGTGCAGGCTCTGCCAGTACTTCAGACATGTTTGCCAGCTCCTTGCTTTCTACGAGCGGAAACAGCCAGCAGCGCATGCCGACCAAAGCAAGACGTGGGCACGCAGTCCGGCTGGTGTGGTCCGTGGAGCAACTGCCAGGAGCTTCAGAGCAGTCATGAGCAAGGTAGAAGGGCTGGGCAGCTTGGTCGGCGTTTGTATCAATTTGGCAAAAACGCGCGAACGCCGAGAAAAGTCAGCAAGTTAATGACACAGAGCAAGTGGCCGATCTGGCAGCCTCCTGCAGGTCTGTTGTCATTCTTTGCGCCGGTGTTAACTTGGTCTGGCTCTCTCGGGGTGTAATAATTCCGACGGCCCGCTGCTGCCTCTGTTGTTTTGTCTGTCTTCGTGCCGGCGTGTAATAATTTGCGCAGGGTGGTGCCGCGTGGGACGCTGTCGAGCCCCTCTCCTTTGTCTCATATTGTGAGCGTCCCGGTTTGGTGTGGCCAAACCATTTGCGGCAATAGTGCCAGGCGAGCGACGCTCCTCTTCGTCTTTCGTCAAACGGCGGCGAGGTGTGGGCGAGCTCCTAAGAGCGCACGCGTGGGATCGCCTTGAGGGGTTTGGGCCCTTATCCTCGTTTTAGGATTAGGTCTGGCGGAAGTTCTACGAAGCGTTAGCCCTTCTCTTTCGGTGGGTGGCGTGTTTGTTGTGAAGGGTTCACCTCTTTCAGATTCGGGTGGCGGTATATGTCGGGCTCTTTCAGAGCCAGCAAACAGGCCCCAGAGTTTGCGCAGCATTTCGCGTGACTTGTCTTGGAGATGTGGCCAGCGGGGCGCGTCGCGCGTTGCACAGTGTCAGAGATTCGGAGAGCAGGCAGCAAGTCGTGGCCCGAGGTCGTTCGGTATCAAGTGGCTCCATCTTGTCAGGCCTCGAGGCTGTGCGTTGATCGATGAAAGGCCAAAGGTGCTGAATGACGAGCGTACTCCGAGCAAAATGCTGGCCGGCGCCTTTTTTTCGGGGTGGGGCTTCTCTCTCGGTTTTTCCAGAACCACACGTCGCCAACGGCGGAAGCAGGGACTGCCTGGCGCTGTAACTTGCTTTGCGTTTGGGGTCGTTCGGAATTCTGTAGAAGTCGGGACCTCTCGCAGCAGGTTCTGGGTTATCAATTTTAGGACGTCAGGCAAATACTTGCGCGCTGAGTGCGAGGAGCCACGGCTCGCGCCCTTTTGCCTTAGTGTGCATTATATTGAGGGCATGGGTATAATAGTAGAGGCGTTCTCTGTTTTCGGGTTCGTCTCTTGGTGTGTTCGATTGTGTTCCGTTGTGTTCTTCTTGAGTGAGTGAGCGCCAGCGAGTTGCTGAGTGAGTTGTAGCTTTTGCTTTTCTCGCAGCTGGAAAACAGCTAGACGGTGGCCCCAGCCGTGCAGCGCAGCCCGCTGCGAAAATAGCACGAAGGAAAGCCACGCAAGGGGTGGCAGCCAGGTTGCAAAGCAGTGCGCGCGCGTAGCTTGCTGGCCCTCAGCTTGTGGGTGCCCCCGCGCGTGTTGTCGCAATTCTGCAGCGTTATGGCTAGGGCACTGGGCCCAGGTGTTTGCGTCAGCTTGGCACAGGGTCGCAGCGCGTTGATTGTGGGAGCGCTCTGGTGGTTAGAAGGGGCTGGCTCTCTATGGTGGAGCAGGCAGCGGCGTCTGGTGGCTTGTTGTAGAGCAACGCCCCACGCCTCGACTTCGCTGCGCATCGATCTGCACACGCAAAAAATTCCAGGAGATGACGCAGGAAGAAGCAAGGGCACTGCGATAGGCACAAGAGGAAAAACTGCGGCCAGCGAAGAAGAGGAAGCGACCAGCCGCCGGCCTCGTGGCCCCTGGAGCAGGGCAGCGGGCGGAGCAGGGCCATGCAAGGGTGGCCGGCCAGATGAGGCGACCGCGGGCGTTCTGGTTGCCGCGGTCAGCGAAAGACGGGCCGCAGCTCTCTGTCGCGGATTTTTCTGCCGTCCATACATCGCCAAAGACGTCGCAAGCGAAAAGAACAAGTTTGCGCATGCTGGGACGTTGTGCCTACTCGCACTCGCGGCCTTGGTGCCTCGTGTTGCACTTCGAGCGCGTTTACGTTGGTTCGCGACAGCACATACGACCGCAACCGGGCCACGAAGTGCGGAACCACGGCCATGGCAACGAGCAAAAGGCGAGGCGCTTGCATCTGCGCGGCGAGCGACCCAGGTCGCTGAATTGGCCTGGCTTACGACGAAGAAAGGGCCCGGCATGAGTGTCGAGGGATCACGGCGGCGCGCCGCCTGGGAGTTCTCCAGGACGTGCCTGGCCTGGGCCGGCCCTAGATCGCCCGGCGGGGTCCCCTCCGGTCTATCTTGGGCATTTCATTTCGCAGCCCCCCGCATCGTTTGCCGATCGTGCAGCTTCTTGCAACAGGTGAGGCAGGGCTTTCCATGTATAGGGCTCCCTGGTCTGCTCTTCCTTACCGCGTCTCCTTTCTTAGCTGAGTGCAAAAGGTGCGCAAGGGTCGAGCAGTTGGGCTTGCCTCGGCTCTGAAGATTTGCCAGCCTGTGGCCCGACTTTGCGTTTATTCTCAAGGCAGGAGCAGAGCTGCGCTGCCTCTCTCTCTCTCTCTTGATTTTCGCGGCCTATCCAACTCGCGCGGAGTGCGATTCTATTAATTAATTAGCCTACGCATCCTCGTCCCAAAAAGCAATGCATAGGAGTAGCTCAGCCTACTAGGTCCGAACTCACTGAGACAGGGACTCGATAGCAAGTATGTGAGTTCGGCACCTACTAGGCCGAGAGTACCTAACTCCCAATCTCTACAGATGTAGCCTCCACTAGCTAGCGCATTCGTGTAATTTATTTCATTCTGCAGGTTGGCAACTTCATCGAGCCGGCCGCGCTGGCAGTTCTACCGATGTTATCAGCCGTGGGTTTGCTTTGCATACATCTGAAGGGCAGGCTCTCACCCATCTCGCTTTTTTCGAAATTATCGGGGAGTTGCGACGCCGAGATGCGTTGGCTGGGTCTTTGCCGCTCGGGTTGGCGTGGGATGATGTTAGCAAATCGACCTCATTTTTAAGGGGTATTGATAGCAGCACTGTAACAATTTGTGAGTGTATGATATGTAGTCACTGTCACACTGTACTCAGGGTTTTGCGTTGTCGCTATCCACTACGTGCACACTTATTGGGAAGGCTGGCCGCCTTATTTTGTGTTCTAATTATTTTTAATTAACCCTAGTGCTAGTGGCGTGGCTAGGTCTGGACTCATCCCGTTTTTTACGTCGATCACTAAATAATCGAGACAGAGCCTTCCCTGCTGAGTGTGTGTCTTCTGATCATTCTGCTCA